AAATCTAACTCTAACTGAGCTCAGGGCTCTCCCATCACTCCAATACGATGGAAACACGGAGAGTCCGAGTTTGCAAACTTGTGTAAGAATAAAGGTTCTTTGCTTTTACACACAGGACTCAAGTCTCCTAGTTGGTTCTGGGGGGGGGGGACGGGGGGGGGGGGACTCCGTGATCTTGGCATAACCCCAGCAAATAAATAAAACCTTTACAATAAGAATTCATGGTCATTCTCAGCTACACATCAAATTAAAGGTCATTTCGGGTCACATAAACCTTTATCTCAGAAAACAAAAACTAAGCAGGGATGGAGAAACGAACGGCTCAGCAGTTAAGAGCATTGACTGTTCTTCCAGACAATTCAGCTTTGATTCCCTGCATCCACATGATTGCTGACAACTGTAACGCTGGTTCCAGGGAATCTGATAGCTTCTTCTGGTCTCTGTGGGTATAATATACAAATGTGATGCATAGATAGACATGCAGGCAAAATACCAGGACACATAAAATAAAACAAAAGACAACAAAAAGTAAGCAACCCCAGGCATGTAACATACATCTTTAATGGAGGTCAGCCTGTTCTACATGTCAAGTTTCAGGCTAGCCTGCCAGTGCTACAAAGAGACCCTGTTTTTTTGTTTTTTTTTTTTTGTTTTTGTTTTTTGGTTTTTCGAGACAGGGTTTCTCTGTGGCTTTGTAGCCTGTCCTGGAACTAGCTCTGTAGACCAGGCTGGCCCCCGAACTCACAGAGATCCGCCTGCCTCTGCCTCCCTAGTGCTGGGACTAAAGGCGTGCCCCATCACCGCCCGGCAAGAGACCCTGTTTTTAAAAAAAGAAAAGGAAAACTAAATGAGAGATAGAGTCAGGTAGACACACAGAAAAGCGGAGGACACTAGATGAGGGAAACGGAGAAACCGAAGGCTAGCTTCAGCATACAAATTCTACTGGTACAAATAACCTGTTCTTATGCCCTCTCTTTTTGTTTGCTTTGTTTTGAGACAGGGTTTCTCTGTGTAACAGTCCTGGTTGTGCTGGAACTTGATTTGTAGACCAGGCAATTTACCAACACAGCTCGGCTTAGTACACCCTCATAATGGGGGTCCAGTGGATGCAGTCTCAAAGTGGCCAGGTTATGGTGATGGCCTTCGACTCCAAAACTATAATCCTGCGAAAGATGGCATGGGATTCTCGTCATTGTTTGTAGCTTTAACATCTGGAAGATACTGTCTCTCTTCATGCATATTTCTGTCCAGTGCCAAGTTGCTCAGGGGATGAGGTCATCCTGGTACTATTGATCTTGCTCACTGGGGCAGTATCCACACACAGAAACTAAATAAAGGGACATAAAACCTAGGTGCAAAATGTAACCCAGCTGCCAATTGTAGAGAAATTTTAGAAACATCTAATTTGCAGTGTGGCAGGAATCCAAGTTCCTAGTTCTCTAGCTGAAGTGGATCTGTCGTTCTGTGCTCAAGCACGCCTGGGCATGTCCGGTGACCTGCTGAGGCAAGACAGGCAACCGGGCTGCTATGGTGCTGTGGCAGCAGATTCTGCTGCTTCAGCCCGGGGTGGAGGTTGCTTCCTAGCACAGGACTCATTTTGGTTAAGGGAGAATGAGAGAAGCGGTGTAAGAAAGACGTAGGCCCTCGTTGGAGAGTCATAAATGCAGCTTGGGGTGGCGGTGACTCAAATCTGTCGCAAGTCTAGGCCCACGAAAACCTCTCTGGGTCTCTAAAGGAAACAAAACTCAGAGTAAAACCATAAAGAACTGTTTCACAGAGAGTCTGGAACACTGAGCACAGCAGTCCACTCCTGGTTCCCCTACCAGTGCTGCTCCACTCAGTGATCCCAATCTCTCCAGAGTATAAGCTGGCGCTGCCTGTTTGGTTTGCCTTTCGGATCCTGGTAGGCATGGTTGGTGCCTCCAACAGCGGTCAAGGGTGTGAAGGCAATGGGCTGCTAGGGGACCTTTCAGACCCCAAGGGTCCCACAGTGTATTAACTTAGGTGCAGGGGCAGAAGAATCAGTGATATTAACTGGACCCCATTTGTACTGTGCTTGGCGTGTTTGATTGTAGTTCCTTATCCAATATATCTTATGAAGTGGCAATTGATAATTATGCATGATAGAAACTTGGGGTCACAAAGAAAGAGACCATAGCTGATGAAAGACCCCCAATGCTGGGAAGACTCTCACTCAAATCTCGGGATAACACGACCCCCCCCCCCCCAGTAACTCAAGGGTCATAGGAAATTCCGAAAATCCAGTGCTGGTCACAAGGGGGCAACTCCCCTGCCCCTCAGGACCACTCCCAAGGTCATAATCAGCTAGTTCCTAAAACACAGAACAATGAGAATCACAAGGGGGAAACTCCCTGTTTCTCAAGATTATTCTCAAGATTACAATCTAACTTTATCTTCAGCTAGTTCCTGGAACACAGTCACTGAACCGGCTAATCCTAGATTTTTGATTCTTCTCTTCCTGCTGGGGTGGGAGAGGTCTGGATTTATCCAGGTCTTTCACTGCTACTGAAGGGTCTGCAACTCTTGACCAAGAAGGTGTGCTCACGAGTTCGAACACAGAGACGGGAGTGCGTTTGGTTTTTATTCTAACTCAGGTGGTGGTGGTACCTTTTCCTCCTTGGCTGGGGGTCTGACCGACCTCACAATTTTATTCAATTGGGTAGTCTGAAAAGAATAATGAGGAAATCGAGGAAGACAGCCACTGCTCTGAGGAGAAAAGGGTCATGGCTCCAGGCCATCAAATTCCTAGAATTGAGTTTACAAATGCGGGTCGTCCCCCCCCCCCCCCAACTTAATCTGTAGACCAGGCTGGCCTGGAACTCACAGAGATCCAGTGCCTCTGCTTCCTGAGTGCGCGGGATTAAAGGCGTGTGCTACCACACCTGGCTCTAACACAGGCTTTATTGGGTGAGGAGAATTAAAATATTCGCATAAGGTTCTTAGAAGGTGGGGGAGAGGAGATTTGAATTTCCTGTCAGTCACAATGAGTGAGTCCTGATCTCCAGGGTGAGACAGACTAGTGCACACTCTGCATGCATTTCAGTACAGTTCTGGTAATTCTTGGCGTACAATCCAAGAGGACTTGGAGGTCTAGTGTTTAAGGTCAGTTCCTTGCACTGTAGAAGCAATTTTTTTTTTTTTTTTTTTTTTTTTTTTTTTAGTTTTTCGAGACAGGGTTTCTCTGTAGTTTTGGAGCCTGTCCCGGCACTAGTAGACCAGGCTGGCCTCGAACTCACAGAGATCCGCCTGCCTCTGCCTCCCGAGTGCTGGGATTAAAGGCGTGAGCCACCACAGCCCGGCTGAAGAAGCTATTGTAAACCACAGGATCCCCTATTGTTATTTATTTTTTGCTTTCCCTTGAGTAACATTTTTGAGGACGTCTTCTTCCACCGGGGGAACACTTTTCGCATTAACACATTACATACACTGGTATTTCCAAAGGTTAGGGCTGCGGCCATAGTACTGGAGTATTGGCAGCGATACTTTGTGGCCCACACTAGCTGGCCTCAACATCTCAGTAATCCCTCTGATTCACTCTTGATTTTGATTCCTGCGAATACCTTGGGAGCTATGTGTCGCTTTTTTTTTTTTTTTTTTTTTTTTTTAATTAGCACAGTGAATTTTAGAAAACTGAAAGAGCTCTACCTGGGAGTTCGGGGTGGGGTAGGAGCTAGGACTGTCTAAGAGGAAGCTCAGTCTTTGAGAATGCCTGCCTGACCCAGAGCCTCAGGAGATGTGCCCTGGAGTCAGGGTGTGTTTTGACCTTTTACCAGCCTTCCTTGCAATCTCCTGGTTTTACAAAACAAAGGCCCCACTTTTCCTTACTGAAAATTTCGTCCCGAAGAAAAGGGACTCTGGCTCCAAGATGGGGGGAAGGAACTCTTTCACTAGTTCCAGGCTTTTTTTTTTACTTCACATCCCCCCCCCCCCCCCCCCCCCCCCCGCTTTCTCTTTTTTTGAGACAGGGTTTCCTGTATATCACTGGCCAGCCTAGGACTCTCTTTGTAGACCAGGCTGATAACGAAATCTCAAGGACCCTCCCTCCTAGCCTCTCCCGTGCTAGGCCGGGATAAAAGGCTCGGCCCACAGGTCAGTCTGTGCCCCACCCACGTGACTGGTGACCGCTGAGGCCAGGAGAGGGCGACAGATTTTCGACAGTGGAGACAGTTGTGAGCTGCCTTGGTGGGTGCTGGGAACCGACTGCCGGGTCCTCTGGCGGAGTGGCCACTGCTCTTAACGGCTGAACCGTCATCACTCCATCAGCAAGCAGTCACAGCATGCGTACAGCTTCTTCCACAATTTTCATTAGCGGCTCCTGAACTAAAAACTCCGGGGGTCTGGAGCCAAATGGCTGCCTGCTTCGTCTGAGCTGCCCTACGTGGAACGTTGGGACATTGGGACAGGTAAGCAGGCCCGGCTGAGAGTGAGGCCCGTGGCACCCTGTTGTGTGCGCGGGTTCGATCCCTCAAAAAACAGACTACAAAAAAGAAAACCGATTTATTTTTTACTTTCTAAAAGCACATTTTCGTGAGCTGTCTTTGAGTACAGCAAGCGCTCAGAAGGCCAGATACTTGCTCCACTTATGGCTCCCTTCTTCAGGACACCCTCCCCAGACTCTCTGAGCGGATGCTTTTCTCTAGAGAAGTACAGGGCTATGAAAACCCCCTCTGACTTCGGGTTTCCGTGGCTCGTCCCGCCGCCACCGGACACGGCAGGGCGTGGGAAGGCCGCAAGAAACTCGGAGAGGCCCGGGCTGCAGGCAGGGGGGCGTGGCCGCCGCGGGCCGGCCGCCGCGCAAGCGCGCAGCCTCCTCCGCGTGAGTGCGCGCGTTCCGGCGCGTGTCCCCGCGCGGGCTCCGTAGCGCGTGTGCCGCATGACGCAGCCCCGCGGGCCCTCCTCCCGCTCTGCGGCGGCCGCGGCCGAGAGGAGTTCGGGGCGGGCCGGCGGGCGGGCGCACGGGCGGGAGGGGGGGGCGAGGCGGCGCGCCGCGAGAGGAGGCGGCGGCGAGAGGAGGCGGAGGAGCAGTAGGCACCGCCATGGCCGCGGTGCTCACCGACATGGCCGACCTGGAGGAGCTCTCCCGCCTCAGCCCGCTGCCCCCCGGCAGCCCCGGGTCCGCGGCGCGCGGCCGGGCCGATCCTCCGGAGGAAGAGGAGGAGGACGACGACGATGAGGCGGAGGCGGAGGTGGTGGCCGCGCTGCTGCTGAACGGCGGAGCGGGCGGCGGCGCGGGGGGCGGCGAGGCGGAGACCATGTCGGAGCCGAGCCCCGAGAGCGCCAGCCAGGCGGGAGGGGACGAGGACGACGAAGAGGAGGACGACGAGGACGAGGGCAGCAGCAGCGGCGGCGCCGAGGAGGAGAGCAGCGCCGAGAGCCTGGTGGGCAGCAGCAGCGGCGGCTGCAGCGGCGACGAGACGCGCTCGCTGAGCCCGGGCGCGGCGAGCAGCAGCAGCGGCGATGGGGACGGGAAGGAGGGCCTGGAGGAGCCCAAGGGACCGAGGGGCGGCCCGGGCGGCCCGGGCAGTGGCGGCGGTAGTAGCAGCAGTAGCGTGGTGTCGAGCGGCGGCGACGAGGGCTACGGCACCGGGGGAGGCGGGAGCAGCGCGACCTCCGGGGGCCGGAGGGGCAGCCTGGAGATGTCGTCCGACGGGGAGCCACTGAGCCGCATGGACTCAGAGGACAGGTCAGTGCGCCGCCGAGGGGACTCTTACGGGACCCCGTCGTGGGGACTCGGGGAACTCCTTCCTGAATCTCTATCTCTCTCTCGGGGACTCTGCGTGCATCCCATCTAGGGGACTCCTCCCGGACCCCACCGAGGGTGCCCAGGGGACTCCTCTTGGACCCCATTGGGGCGGCCCCTTTGCCCTGGCCCAGCCAGCGGGCCCTTCTTGCAGCGATCCCCTCGCTGTAGCTAGACTCCCCGGCTCTGCTAAGGGGTCCGAGGGGACTTTCTCGCCGCGGTCCTTTCCGTTTCTTGCCCCTCCTTTCCGACCCCGCCCGCTCGCTAGCCCTGGGAACGGTTTCATCGAGATCTCCCCTTGCCTCCGACTTTGGGACCCCAGACCCGGAATACTTTCCCTCCGCGATCTCCCGCCCCCTGAATTTTCGGCCCCTCCCCCGATCTCAACTCGGAAATCCCTGGCGGCCGCCGCGCCCCTCTCTCGCCACCGAGCGGCTTCCAACTCCTCACCATCCCCCTCAACTCTCCTTTCCCCACCCTCCTTCCCTCGGCGCGGCTCTCCCTTTGGACCGAAGAACGACTCTGTCCCGGAGACAGCCCCCCAAAGTGGCCCAGACGCTCCAGCCGAGCTCCAAAGGCCCTTGGTGTACACCTCGGTACACAAGGTTAGCTTCGTGCATCGGTGTTCCGGAACACTTGTCAGAACTGTAATTGACAAGTGTTTTCCAATATGGCTGATCTCCTGGATCTCACAGAACTAACTTGTGCAGGGAGGAGACCCCAACCCTGGCTTTTCTTTACTTTTGAAAAGACTGTTGGTTTGTTAAATGTAATCGCTGCTCCTCAAATCCCTCATGTAAGTCAGTTGTATCATCTCTTAGGGGATTTGAATCTTGGTCATCAAATCTGGGCGAAAGTTTAAAGCAGACCATTGTGGAAAGGAACAGTGTGAACTGATGTCCTTTACAGTAACTTTGCCGAATCGGAAAGAATTGAAGTCACAAGATGCAGCCTCGAAGGTTTAAAAAAATTAGGATATGGCTTTAAAAACGGCACTATAGTGATACTTTGATGTGGGAGTCACCTCCCCCTTGGTGATTTTTTTTTAAAGTCACGTATGGGGGAGGTGTCTGGAGGAATTAGCTCTTTTCTAGAGCTTGTTCGAAGTAACAATGCACTACCATTTTGCTAGATAGAACATTTAAGAAATGTAGCATGCTTCGGTTGCTGCCCTAATTTCTGATTGCTTTGTAGGATTTCATAATCGAAGTGGTCGATTTTTAATGTACTTTTAAAGGAATCTCGTGTTCATTATGCTCCTAAAGTGCATTAGCATTTACTTTTGGCCATCTGCTAGTGTTTTGATGAGGAATTTATAAGCCAATAGTGATTTTTCTCCTTGGATTGTATTTTTTGGTGGTGTTGGGGATATCTGGGTAATCACATTAACCTAGTTGCTGTCACTTGACAATTCAATCTTATCTACTTTAGCCTCTGAACACTGTGTTCACACCCACCAGCATGCTTGGATTTTGATTTGATTTTAAGTTTAAGCATTCTGAAATCTTCAGGAATTCTGGTTGCTAACTAATAAAGATGACCATGTTATATAGTTAATGATATAGGAATTCTCTTTGACTCTTTAAAACCTAGACAAGTGAGTACTTGTTCCCACTCCTCCACCATTCTTTACAACAGGGTTTCTCTCTGTAGCCGAGGCTAGTCTGGGATTCACAGAAATCCTCAGCCTCCCAAATGCACGAGTCACCATATATGGAACTCACGAAATGAATCTTGAATGGGTGTAAAACAGACTGCTCCTTATAAAAACGTAGAAAAATTGTGCTGAACTGGGTGGATTGTAGTTGGAGATAGTATCTTTAAAAAGAATTAAAAGTTCATGTGGGACAGCTTATTTGGGGGTTGCTCTTTGCTGCAGGAAGCTGTTACTCAGTAAAAACCTGTCCTCAAGAAACACTAGTTGATTTCAAACTACACAATGAAGCATGTGCTATTATTCACGAAGTGCAGCTCTTCTGTTTGCTCTTAGCGCACACATGTGCACATTCATGTTTGCCATGTCTCCATTTCATCCTCACATTTATGATGCATGAAAGGGGTTATTTTAACTTCCATTTAGCAGATAGGGAAGCAAATTGAGTGTCTCACTGAGAATAGTGCTTGTGGAGGAGCAGCTGGATGTGAAACAAAGTTTGCGATTCTCCTGCTTCTTCCTCACAAGAGCTGGAATAGTTCACTTTTTTTTAATTTTTAAGGAAGAAAGGGTTTATTATTTTGGCTTACAGTTCTGGGGGGTGGTAACACCCATCATGGCAGGAAATACATGGCAGCATGCAGGCAGGGGGGCATTAGGACAGGAGAGGAAGCTGGCTGGTCATACAGTATGTCCACACTACGAGATGGGATATGTGGTTTGTTTTTAGATATGATCTCTGTGTAGTCCTGGCTGTCTTGGAACTCTTGTAGACCAGGCTGGCCTCAAACTCAGAGATCCTCCTGCCTCTTTCCATTGGACAACACATGGCTGAGAGAAGAAGCTTGGACTGGGTCACACCTGCACCTAGACACCCTAGGGTGCTGTCTGGAGCACGGTTTGTGGGAGGGAGGAATAAAGTCCCTCATGGCAGGGGAAACAAGCGGTGTGTGCCTTCGAGATGTCGCTGCCCCTCCCCCATTGCTTCCTTTCAAGAGACATTGAGTTTCTGTTCGAGCAAGAGTTCACTAATTTGGTTTTGTTTGGTATTAAATGTCTTAATTTTGATGGAACTTAGTGAAGAATAACATTGTCGTCAAAATTTCAGGTAAGGTTAAAACAATCAACATGCTTCCTTTTTCCTTTAATTTTTAAACATTTTATGTATTGGTAGGCGTGCACGTATACCATGGTGCACTTGTGGAGTTCAAGGAGGACTTGCTAGTTCTCTCTTTACATCTTGTATGGTCTGTGGGAATCAAACTCACGTCAGCTGGCTTTGCAGCAAATGCATTTACCTCCTGAACCACCTCATTGGCCCATTCTTACTTGCATAATGCTTTTAAACACTGAAGAAAAAGACAGTCGTGATCATTTCAAGGCAGTAACATTATCACCTGTGTGAAGAACCGTTACTAGTGAACTTGGATTGTAGCCTTGATGGTTTTGAAATACCGCCTGTTGGCTTTGAGTTTTATATGTCAGAGTTGGTTTAAGTTGGGAAAAGATCCAGTTTTTTTTGTTTGTTTGTTTTGTTTTTTTCTGATGTAGAATGGCCTGATGCTCACTATGTAACCCAAGCTAGTCTCAAACTCATGGCAGTCTTCCTGCTTCGACCTTAGTCTTCTGAATGTTGGGATTACAGGTGAGCTGTCATGCTGCCTAGTATCAAATTCTTGATTTCCTCTTTAGATTGCACCAATCTGTAGATTCATAGTTGATTTCCTGGAAGGGACTTGTAAGTTTTGTAATGAATGGAAAGATATAATAGACTAAAAGTCCTTTTAAAACGTTGAGACTTCTGTGAGAGCAAGTCCTACCACACCTAGCTCAGCAAACTTGATTAATCAAAAATGAAAAATGTCAGGTTTTATTCTTTGCCAGTCGTATTTGTTATTTGTTGAAGTTGCAGTGGAGAATTTAGTTATAGTGCAGTGGACCGTAAATGCCACTTCAGTACAGACCACTTATGCAGTCTGGCAGGAGCTTAAGTAAGTTCAGTGCCTCAACACTTGCATAAGGCAGTTTGCAGTGTCAATATGGACTAGGTGGTTTTACCTAGCGTGGACTGGGAAGGAGCAAAGGGAAGCCACAGAGCTCTTTGAGCCAGATTAGACCCCTGATAAGTGTTTTATTTAGTTTGTGTGTGGGTGTTTTGTCTGTACCACGTGTGTGCTTGATGCCATTGGATGCCCTGGGACTGGAGTTATGTATGATTCTGAGCCACCATGTGGTTTTGGGAATTGAACCCAGGTTCTATGGAAGAGTAGCTAGTGTTCTTACCAACCCAGTGATCTGCATGCAGCTCCTCTAAGCCTTTTCTGTTTATTTTTTATTTAGTCTCTGATACTTAATTGCTTGTTCACTTGTAAGTGAAGCAAGCTTTTAAACCCTCAAAACTCGCAGTTTCCCTGGGGAGAGTGGCGCCCTCCTGTAATCTCATCACTGATAGGCAGAGGCAGGGAGATCATGCAGCTAGTATGAGGTTGGATTAGCCAGGGCTTCTATCCAGATCCTGTCTCAACAGCTCCCCCAACCCCATCCTCCCCAAATGCAACCAAATGCAAACAACACAACTTACTGCTTCTCTGGCCACTTTAGGGTGGCCTGGGACTTTTTAGCTCAGGCTAGCCTTGAATCCATGTTGATTCTCCTGCCTTGGCCTCCCTTGTGCTAGAATTGCAGGCATGAGCCACCATTCCCTTAAATCTTTTTCCACTACATTTATTTGCTTGTTTATTTTGGAGTGCATGTGTATATTCTGGTACTGGAAGCAGAGAACAACTTGTGGGAGTTGGGTTTTTCCTTGTATCATGTTGGTACTTGGCTGAAACTGAAGTTAGAGACAGTTAGTTGCAAGACACCATGTGGGTGATGGGAATCGAACCTGCATCATCTTCACTGCTGAGCCATCTCTCTAGTCCTCCCTCTCTTAAAAAAAATCTAGTCTAAGCTAATCCTGAAACTCACTTTGTAAACCAGACTGGCCTCAAACAAATTGTGTGCTGGGATTATAGACAGGGTCACCTATACCCGATGGCAGTTTTTAAAGATTTTTTTTTTTTTGTTTTTACTTTCTTATATGGAGATGAGATGGGGAGTCAGTTCTCTCCGTTTATTTTCATGTGGATTTTGGGGATTGAATTCAGGTACCCAGACTTTGGCAGTAATTGCCTTTACCCACCCGAACCACCTCACTGGCCTGGCAGATTTTGGTTTTTCGAGACAGGGTTTCTCTGTACCCTAGCTGTCCTGGAACTCGATTTGTAGATCAGGCTGACCTCGAATTCACAGAGATTCACCTCACATTTTTTTAATGCCTATTTTTGATTACGTTACTTTTTCTGCAATTTATAAAAATACTTTGTTTTTGTTTGTGTGTTTGTGTCTGTGTTGGGTATGTCAGAGATGAGATCCCTTGGAGTTGCCGCTCAGAGTGGGTGACTGAGAACAGAACTTGGGTCCTATGCATGCAAGAGCTGTCTTCAGCCCCCTGGAAATGTTTTTTAACAAAGTGAAAGGTCACACTTTAGAATTGTATTAAAGTCAGGTGTTTCCACTCTTAGTCTGAACATGGTTATGATTGCTCTGTCTCTGACGAGATGAGAACTGAGGATGGAGTCATGCTGAAGGGCTGTGTGCTTCAGAAACACTCTGAAGTGGGGAGTGAGTGGCCAGAGAGTAAAGCAGCTTGCTTGTTTTCCACAGACTGCATTTCATCATTGTTGCATAAAGTCCCATTTGACCAATTTAGTGAATGCTGCTGGGTCTTGGGGAGAAAAATCCTTTGTCTTTCTCGAGAGAAGTCATTGTGAGGATAGACAGTAATCTTTTTATTTTGATTAGAAAAACCCATTTTGGCTGTTTGGTTTACAATGATAATGGGTTGTAATTAGAGTAATAATAGTAATGCTATCTTGGTTTTGGTTAATGATTTTTAATGTGCTTCTAATTTTTTTATGATTAGCTCAGTGTGACAGCCGTATATTTTACTTACCTTAAGTGGTCTCTAGCCTCTCACCCTGAGTTTTTATTCATTTATTTTTTTGAGACGGTGTCTTACTTTGTAACTCTGGCTGACTTGGAACTTAAAAGGATCTACCTGCCTGTGTCTCCCAAAGGGCTGACATTAAAGGCTTGCCCCACCATGCCTATCTAGAGCAATCTTTCTATTCTAGTAAGTGGCAGGCAGTATTATAGGTGAAAACAGAACCGCCTATTGCCAAAATTGTGTTTTCCTTGTTAACAGTTAAATTCAGGATCTTTTGTATGATCTTGAGGCGATCTACAATTCGCTTAGTCGTAGTGCTCTTCCTCACTCAGGAAGCTGCAGGTTTTCTAGATGTGGCTCTTGCTTTATGACCTCAAAGCCAGCCTGGGCTACATAGCAAGACCATGAGTTAAAAACAACCCAACCCAACAAAGAAACCTAAGGTTATATTGTTCACTATGATCCTATTAAATTCGCTTAGACCTAAAATTTTCTCTTCCATTTTAAACAAATTTTATTCCATATATGTATGGTTGTCTGTTTATTTCCCTTCTCCCTTCTTGAGACACAGGGTCTCATTGTTCAGACTAATGTGGAATTGACTGTTGATCAAGCTGATTGTCCCCAATTAAGATTTCCGTCAGGTAACTTGAGGTTGTATCCAGTAGACCACGGAAGCTAAGTAGGAGAGACTACCCTTGAACTTTATGCAATCTTCCTGCTGCCCTCTGAAATGCAGGTTTCCAGGTGTGAGTCACGCACCTGGCCTCTTGAGGCTGACCTCCTCCCCTGCTAGAGGGTTACAGACATGTCACACTAAGTGGCTAGCCAGCCCATGGTCTGTCCTAAAAATGGGATTTTTGGAATACTTGTTTTATAGGCTATAGATGTGGTTCTGTCCCTCACTCCCTACAGCCACTAGGAGTTTGTGATAACTAGGTGAATTGGAAGGTTCCTAAAGATCGTGATTTTTGTTAATAGGGGAAAAAAAGCTTGATCTGTTAGAGATTAGGGAAATTCTTACTGGAAGCCTCAAGTCAGAACTCATGTCTTGAAGGGTTTGGAGTGTGCATTCTCTTAAGTTCATGGTACCTTAATCCTTTCCGGTCAGGCTAAGAGCTCAGGTTTCCAGCCCTTTAATATAAAAGTGCTGTTATCACAGTAGTAGACATTTTGATGAGAAAATAGAATTTAAAAACAATTTACAGGGCACAGTGCCGCAGTTAGAATAAATTCTAGTGTTCTCTACTGCCCAGCAGGGCAATTGTTGTAAATAACAGAATAGCTGGGAGAGAGTTTTGGGTGTACTACAAAAGATGATAAGTGTTCAAGGTTATGGGATGTTTATTAGCCTAGTTTGCTTATCGTCCTTTGTACAGTTATTGAAACATCTCTTTACCCTATAAATATATACAGCTATGTATCAATCAAAATTTTAAAAATTAAGAATTTCGGGGGAAGAGGCAGAAATTTTTTCAATAAATATATCAAAAAAAATTGAATTTCCAGTAATGGTTGAATTTTTTTTCCTCAAATGAAAATTTGTATGGAACCCCAGTACATAAAAGTTAAAATGATATTTAATTACAATTGATCGGGGAGGCATATCTTTAACATTGTTATTTATGTTGCATTTTAATTTACTTCATGTGCATGTGTAAAGACATACATGCTGAAGCATAGGTGTGGCGGTCAGAACAGCTTTGCAGGAGTCTGTTCGCTCCCTCATGTTAGGTCTTGAGAATGTTGTACAAGTGCTAGTCACTGAGCTGTATCCCCTCAGCTCTATCGATGTTACTTTGTTTTGTTTTGAGACAGTCTCAGATTGTAATCCAGGCTGGCCATGGTGATCCTCTCCTCAGCCCCTTAGTGTGGAGATTACAGGTGTGAACTCCCATTCCCAGCTTCAAAGTGAGTGTTGCTTTTTAATTTGTTTGTAGCTGAGGGGGATCTTGCATTTCATATTCTATCTTCACCTACTAAGTAGTAGAATTATAGCCTGGTTTATGTGGTGTTAGAGATTGAACCCAGGAGGTCCATGCATTCTAGGTAAGCCATCTGAGCTATGCCCCTAGCTCATTTTTTTCTCCCCCCTTCTTGTGTTTTTTCTTTTCTTTTTCATTCTCATTCTGTGGTGCGTGTGTGTCTGTTTGTGTGTTTGTGTGTGTGTAATGGTTTGACTTGTAGGGTCTAGCTTATGCTAAGAAATGTTCTCCCATTGCCTACATGTCTGGACACTATTCACTCCTTTAAGATTTATTCACAGTGGATCTTATTCTTACTTTCTCCCAAGCTGTTCAAATTCTTGTAATCCTGCCTCAACCTCCCAAGTACTAGGATTATAGTCAGTACCCACTGCACCCAGCTTTATTTAGCTTTTGAGGCCCTTATACTTCATTGCCAGCTAATTTCAAAGTGTTGCATTTGAATGGAGAATTTTGGTTACTGTGTTATTTGTATAGAGCAGAATGTTATGTAATGTTGGTAAATTTCTAGGAGTAACAACCTTTTTCTTCTCTTGTAGCATAAGCAGTACTCTAATGGACGTAGACAGCACAATTTCCAGTGGGCGTTCAACTCCAGCAATGATGAATGGACAAGGGAGCACTACTTCTTCAAGCAAACACATTGCCTATAATTGTTGTTGGGACCAGTGCCAGGCGTGCTTCAACTCTAGCCCAGACCTGGCAGACCACATCCGTTCCATACACGTAGATGGTCAGCGCGGAGGGGTTGGTTTTACCATTTTGTTTTTCATTCTGTTTTGATTATATTCACTTACTGCTAATAGAATTTTATTTTTCTCTTAATAAAGGAATTGGGAATTTCCCCTCATTTTCTGTTACTTGCTAGGATTATATGAAAGTAGGATATGTAATTTTTTGGGTTTTGGTTTGCTCCTGCATAATGTTTTGAAGAAATGAGCCCTTTAAAGTTGTAGTTCTTAGAAATGCATAAAAGGATGCAGTGAGTTCCCAGGTTCAGATACTGAAGGGAAAGCATCTGGAAATGAGCACCACTCTGGCGACTCTTGGGAGAACCTCAGTCAGCACATGGAGCTCATACTGCAGAGGGAGCTTCTCATTTGTGATCAGTGCCTGGACATCCCTCCTAGGTCAGGGGTTCATGAAAGAGGAGGTTCTGATTAGTCAGCTAACCTGTACCTTCTGGAGTATATTTAATTTTGTCATCTAATATCATGGGATGGGCAGTGGATATAGAGCCAATCAAGTTCAAAGTACATTAACTTTTTTGTTTTATTTTCATGTAGGGTCTTACTCTGTACTCTAGGATAGCCTTGCCTGAGTAATTATTCTCAACTATGTCTAGTTGGCCATAGTTAGTACATTTTTCAGAAACTGATATTACCTTGTAAATACAGATAATACTAGGCCATGTATCTTATTAGTCTGCCTTTTCTGTTTTTGTTTGAGATAGGGTTCCATTCACTATGTAGTCCTGGCTGGCCTAGATCTCACTGTTGTCTTCTTCACTGAGGTAGACTGATGCTAATATGGTTTAAATTGTTGTAGTTCAAGCGAGTGACTCTCTGGAGCCAGATCGATACTTAAAATATTGGGGTGGAGTATAACTCCGAGAATGCTTAGGTGGCACACTTGGGACACTGCTGAGTCACTGGGACTAGACTAGGCTAACATTTTGTCATCAGTGTGGTTGCCTTTCAAGCTGGGTGCTGTGGCACAGCACTTGGGAGACAGGAAGACTGATCTGAGTTGAGGCCAGCCTGGTCTACATAGTGTTCTAGGACAGCCAAAAGAAAAGTCAAAAACACCAACCAAAATTTCTTTTAAAAAATAATCATCCTTCTTATAATGAGGAACCCGAGGAGTAAATATGGTTGTCTAAGTTTCATGTCTGAGTGACCCTCAAGTGGCGTACTTCCACTTGGTCTACTGGTGAACTCTGTTCACCTTACCTATTTGACTGGAGTGAAATCCAGTTCCCCACCTGGTCCAGCAAATATTAGTATCTTACCACATCTTAACCACTTTGGTTTCCTGTTACAGATAATGCCCTCTTTTTATTTATTTATTTATTTTTTTCAGTTTTTCTAGACAGGGTTTCTCTGTAGCTTTGGCACCTTTCCTGGAACTAGCTCTTGTAGACCAGGCTGATCTGCCTGCCTCTGCCTCCCAAGTGCTGGGATTAAAGGAGTGCGTCATCACCGCCCAGCTAGATAACATCCTCTTACAGATGCAATCTCATTGTGTAGCCCACACTGTCTGGCATTCACAGTCCTACCTTAGCTTTATGTCCTAATTGCAGCCGGTTACCACCATACTGCTTTCGTGAGCACATGCCTGTTTGATATTTGTTACTTCCTACTGTGGCATAAGCGGTTTTGGCGCTTGATTTATCTACTATATATAGACTTAGGATCACTATTTACATAGAGATCACTTGGCATTTCCTGGTAGGTTTGAGAGAATTGAATCTTGAATCCTATGAATTAAATTAGCACACAGCCTTTGTGAAGGCTATTTGAATCTCGTCAAAAAAATAAAGTGAGACTAAGCTTCCTTTTTGTGAAACAAAGTTAAAGTTTATTATTAAAAAATGTGTGCTGGTGAAATGGCTCAGTGGTAAAGGGGTTTGCTCAAAGTTGTCCGTATCCTCCACATGAATGTTGTCACGAAAGCCTGCAGACTACGCCATAATTTACATAGTGCTAAAGAGATGTTTCAGTGGTTAATACTGGCTGCTCTTGGGAAGGACTTGGATTCAGTTCCCGGCACCCACATGGTGGCCCAGAGTTATGCATAATGCCTTCTTCTGACCTCTGAGGGTACCAGGCATGCACATGGTGCACATACAAATATGAAGGTAAAACATGGAAGCACATAAAAGGAAATAAAATCTAAAAAAATGAATAATAGTAATAATTTAAAGAGTTTTGGGGCTGAACAGTTGGCATAGTAGTGTTTGTTGCTCTTGGAATGAACCTTAGTTTACATTCATGCTCATCGGTAACTCCAGTGTCAGTCAGGTGGTGGTAGCACATGCCTTTAATCCCAGTACTCAGGAGGCAGAGACAGGAGGATCTCTTTTTTTTTTTTTTAAATTTATTTATTTATTTATTATGTATACAATATTCTTTCTGCATGTATGCCTGAAGGCCAGAAGAGGGCACCAGACCTCATTTCAGATGGTTGTGAGCCACCATGTGGTTGCTGGGAATTGAACTCAGGACCTTTGGAAGAGCAGGCAATGCTCTTAACCGCTGAGCCATCTCTCCAGCCCCCAGGAGGATCTCTTGAGTTTGAGGCCAACCTGGTCTACAAGAGCTAGTTCTAGGATAGACTCAAGCTACAGAGAAGCCTGTCTTGAAAAACCAAAAAAAAAGAAAAAAAAAAAAACCTCCAGGAACCAACTGGACATGCATTGAGGAGAGGTAGTGGTCAATCCTGAGCCTGACTACCTGTGCTATCTGAAGATTTTAGGCAAAGGTCGAAGGGCTGATGCCACAGAATTATTCTCCTTGCATGAGCTGTGATACACGTCAAACACACACAGAAGCAGAGAGTTAAACCAGAAATAGAGGTGGAAAGGGATGGACAGTATATACTACTTGGGTGTGGGCTTCCCGAAAAGGAGGGGGGTGGGGTAAAGAGATATGGGAGAATGCCTGAGTTTTAGCAATAGTCATATATATAATTTTAGTGGTTCAAGATATTTCATTTGTTTGAGGCAGGGTTTCTCTGTGTAGCATTGGCTGTCCTGGAACTTGCTCTGTATATGAGGGTGAACTTGAATTTATAGAGATGCACCTGCCTCTGCCTCCTAAGTACTAGGATTAAAAGCCAGTGCCACTGTTTCATGTCTGAGTGACCAGTCAAGTGGCATACTTCCACTTGGTCTACTGGTGAACTCTGTTCACCTTACCTCTTTCACCACTGCCTGGCTCCCCCCCCCCCCCCCTTCGAGATAAGGTTTCTCTGTGTAACAGTCCTGGCTGTCCTGGAATTAGCTCTTGTAGACCAGGCTGTCCTCGAACTTGTCTCTGGCTTTTTTTAAGATTTATGTATGTATGAGTATTTTGCCTGAGTGTATGTGTATGTACTGTGTGTTGTGCACAGAATTCAGGTCTTTTGTAGGAGCAGAAAAATACTCTTAACCTCTTGAGCCATTTCTTTTAATATTTATTTATATATTATGTATGCAATATTCTTTCTGTGTGTATGCCTGAAGGCCAGAAGAGGGCACCAGACCTCATTACAGATGGTTGTGAGCCACCGTGTGGTAGCTGGGAATTGAACTCAGGACCTTTGGAAGAGCAGGCAATGCTCTTAACCACTGAGCCATCTCTCCAGCCCTTGAGCCATTTCTGTAGCCCTCTCATTAGATGAAACTTTCTAAAAGTTCTGTCACTTGATATGACATTTGATGACTGTTAGTACAGGTGTCTTAGTGGTATTACAGGCCACAAAGCCTCAGAATTTCTATAATTTTGTTTGTTTGTTTTTCCAGGCAGGGTTTCTCTGTGTTACACTGGTTGTCCTGGAACTCACTCTGTAGTCCAGGCTGGCCTCAAACTCACAGATCTGCCTGCCTCTGCCTCCTAAGTACTAAGATTAAAGATGTGGACAATAACTGCCTTTTCCCAGTTTTCTCAATTAGGGAGGCACCCCTCCAGCCTCAAGAAACTGTTTTAATTGTTTTTAAGTGTGTAATTCAGTGGCACTGTGTAAGTTTATACCATTGTGTAGTTTTGATTATCTATTTTTAAGGCTTTTCCATTATCATCTTGATGAAATCTGGACCACTTAAGCTCATCCCCTTAAGTGGATAGATGTTTTGGTGACCACTTTCTGTCTCAGTGTTGTCTACATATCATCTACGAGGACTTGTATTTTTTCCCAGTGCTGGAACTAGAACCTAGGTTCTCGAGCATGCTTGACAAGCAACTTAACACTGAGCCCAAGGCACAGCCTCTTTGTACCTCATGAGTAGGGAATATCTGACTTTGATTGCCTAGTGAATTTTTAGATTTCTTTTAGAGGTTAAAGTGCCATCATGAAACAGCAGAAAAAGATGAGTTTTACTGGAACAGTAAGTGAGTACGATTTGAATATTATATTCTCTTCTGCTGTTTTCCTCTTCCTCTGTTGATCTTTACCCTAGGAGACATAAGAGCTCACCACCAGCTCCAAGTTGTCTGTGTTGCCATGTCCATGTGAGCTTTAATTTTTGTTGGCTACTGAAGTGTACTGAACAGTAGCTTTTTATTAAGTTTTCATTAAATTTTTTTTTTTTTAAGCTGGGCAGTGGTGACACTTGCCTTTGCCAGCATTTGGGAGGCAGAGACAGGCTTGAGTTCAAGGGCAGTCTTTGTCTACAGAGAGAGTTCCAGGACAGCCTATCTTGTTAATAATAATAATAATAATAATAATAATAACAATAATAATAATAATAAATTTAGACATTTGTGTGGATGTTTTGCTTATATATCTATGTATATTTTGTGCTTGCCTGTGGATGGTTGTGAGCTACCTTGTGGGTGCTGGGAACTAAAACCAGGTCCTCTGCAAGAATAGCAAGTGTTCTTAACTGCTGAACCATCTTTCCAACCCCCTTAAAGTTTTTGTTCATTTTTATGTGTGGGGTTGTTTTGGTTGCATTCATGTCTCTGCTCTCTGTGCATGCCCGGTGCCTACAGACTGGGGGTGTAGACAGCTGTGAGCTGCCATTTGCTTGTGGGGAATTGAACTCAGGTCCTCTGGAAGAGAAGCCAGTGCTCTTAACTGCTGAGCCGTCTGTTCAGTAGCCCTTTTGACTTTTTATATGTAAGTGTGGATGGGCATATGAGAGATTAAATTACTTAAGCAATAGATTATGAATATACTTCAGGGAGTTATGAGACAGCCTGGGTGTTATATAATCCTAGCACTCAGACTGAGGTAGGAATATCTAGGCTACACTGGATTAGTATCAAAGAATAACAAACAATAATAAAAAACATGAGAATGTTTTGTATAATTAAGAAAGGGGTAAAAACGAAGCTTTTGTGTCACGTATAATAAATTGTATCTGTACTTTGGATACTCCCATAGTGGCGTGGGTGTGATTTGAGATTCTGGCCTGGAACTTTTTGGGTTTATCTTGTTGGCCTTGACTTTGGGGCACTTTTTGTCTTCTGAGTTCTGGGATATAGGCATGTACCACACTGGTTAATGTGTTACTGTTTTGCCCAGTATTCCCCAATAATACACAAGATTCTCCATATCACAAGAGAATGGACTGTGGATTTATTAAAATAGCTAAACCTTAATTGATTTATAGGGCCTACTGCTGAGTATGGTGAGGCAAACCTTTAATTCCCTTCACTGGGAGGAGTTTGAGGTCAGCCTTATCTACATAGCAAATTCCAGTCAAGACTACATAGTGAAACCTTGCCTCAGAACAACAATAACAACAGCAACAGAAAAATAAAATCATTTTATATTAGAAGTATTTCTAAAAATCAAGTATAAAAGTACTTTTCAAGGCTGAGGCAGAATGATGCCTAGTTAGAGAGGTTCTGAGGTTACATGTGAGAATCTATCTCAAAACCAAATAACTGGGGCTGCTCTTCTGGGAGGACTCAGGTTCCGTCTTAGCATTTAATTTGGTGGCTAACTTCTGCCTGTCACTCCAGGTCTTAGGGCATCTGGTCTACCCTTCTGCCCTCCAAAGGCAATATATGGGTGTGGTGCACAGAGTGGATTCAGGGAAAACATACATTTTGAAAAAGAGTAAAAAAATACCATAAAGCAAACCATAGCCACGCATGAACAACTACACTTGTGCATCTATAGCCTTAGGTTCTGCCTTCCTCTTCTGTATCTGGTCCTTTTCTCTTCCCTTCCCCTCTCCTCTGTTGATTCCTTGCTTTGAGAGACAGGGTCCCTTTTTAATTAAGAGTAGTCACTTGAAATTTTAGATTAATAGAGCAGATCTGTTAAATCCTTGGCAGGAGAGGTTCAGTCAGGAGGATCATAGAGGACAGCCTGGGCTACATTGAGGGTACCTATCTCAAAAAACCAAGCCATCCAATTTTGAGACAGAGTTTCACTATGTAGACCAGTCTGGCATTAAATTCACAGATCTACCTGCTTTTGCCACCTCAGTGATAGGTTTAAAGGCGTGTCGCTCACTATACCCAGTAGATTTCTTTAAGTAAACTCTTAAATAATCTGTTTGTTACATTTATCCACTGTTTGAGTGTGTGAGTGTGAGAAGAGGCGGAGCGGGCAGAGATCAGAATGAAGTTTGCCAGAATTGGCTCTTCCACCATGTGGTTGTAGGGATTGAACTCAGGGCAGTAAATGCCTTTGTCTACTGAGCCACCTCACTGGTCTAACAGTAACCTTGGAGATGTTTTTCTGGTGGGTCTATTGACCATGAGTCCTCTCTGATTAACTCTTTGAACTTCGCTTATAGCCCAAGCAGGCTTTGCACTCATCTTCCTGCTTCATCCTGTTAAGCAGCTGCAATTATAGGCCTGCTCTGCCAGGCTTGTTTAAAGGAACTTTTAAAACTTGAACTGTGAAACATAAGATGAATATAGGAGGGCCAGAAATCGGTGAGAGGAGGAAGAGGAAGTGTTTTGAAATGCACTGACTGCTTAACTGACATTTCTGTGTAGTACCATGGGATCAGTCATTTAGGAGGGCAACAGTGATGCTGCCTTGTCAGAATAAGTTCTTAGATGAGTCTCATGTAGTCCAGGCTGGCCTCAGATTTGCTGTGTAGCTAAAGATTGACTTTGAATTTTGGATCCCCTTGCCTTCACCTCCCAGTTGCTAGGCAAGTACTTTACCAACTGCTGGGTCATACAGAAGTCCCAGATCTTGTAGTAGCTGCTAAGGAACTGGGGTCAGGCCTGTGTCACCAGGTCCAGCTTGTGTTAGAATGGCACAGAGCTCTCTCTACCGGAGAAAACCAAAAGCCAGAGTAGATCAGAATCTACCTGACTTCTGTTATTAGTTCATAGACTGAGATGCTTGCTGCACCTGGATGTGCAAATGTGTGCCTGATTCTCAAGGAAGGAGACCAGAAGAAAATGTCAGATTTCCTGGGACTGGAGATAGATTGATGTGACCCACCAAGTGGGTGCTGTGAATTTAACGCAGGTCTCTGCAAGAGTGGTTAGTGCTCTCCAGCCCCGTGTTTTATGTTTTTAGTTTATTTTCTTGTTGCTTCCTGGGATTCAACCTCAGGGTCTGTGCATGGTAGGCAAGCACTCTACTGCAGAGCTGCATTCTCAGCCCTTAAAATATTTTTTTCTGCAGTCTGTTTTTCGGTGTGTTATATGTAGTACTCTGTAGTGAGTACTGAAATGATTCTGTTTGTAATTATTCGTAGGAAGACGATTCTCAAAAGTAGCTTTTTTGTTTTTTGTTTTGAGGCAGGGTCTCACTCTGTGCCAGTTCTTTCAGAGACTGCAGTGTATGGGACAGTTGCCAGTGTTTGGAATCCTTCGGAAATCTCAGAAGGGAAGACTAGGCTACTTACTAGTGCTGGAATTTTCCAGACCTGGTCAGATTTGGTTTCCTGAGGCTGAGAAGGTAGTTCTTCACTGTGAAAGATCAGTCTTTGTTCCCTAGCTTTGTATATTTTCTACAGAATTAAGATAGCTAAAAATACTTTTTTTTTTTTTTTTTGGTTTTTCGAGACAGGGTTTCTCTGTGGCTTTGGAGCGTGTCCTGGAACTAACTCTTGTAGACCAGGCTGGTCTCGAACTCACAGAAAGATCCTCCTGCCTCTGCCTCCTGAGATTAAAGGCGTGCGCCACCACCGCCTGTTGCGGGAGGTCCTCCCGCCTATCCTCTAACCAATAAAATGGGCCAGGGCAGTGCCTTTATTAGCCAATGACCTTCCTCCACCCTATCCTCTAACCAATAAAATGGGCCAGGGCAGTGCCTTTATTAGCCAATGACCTTCCTCCATCAACCGCCCAGCTAAAAATACTTAATGGGAAGAACAGTACAGGAATGTAGAATGTTAGTCATGTCAGAATAGGAATTCATGAGTAGAAAAGCTTGACAGCAAAATTTTTATTTCTTTTAAAATTTGAATGTGACTTATGCAAATTGTATTTTTTTTGACTCATTTCTTTGTTAAAAGCTTATCTACTAGTTAATGTTTACCTTTAGTTTTTATATTTTCCTAGTATTGAGAAGTAGCAAATCCTTCATAAAAACAGAAGTAAGCTTGTCTTAGTGTGTGGAAGTTGTCATCTTTTATGTACCCTCATCCTGAGGGGTCTGCTAGTTTCTTACTGAGGGAAAAGGACCTAGCATTGAGAGTGGGGCAAAACTGCTCCCTATTGGGAAACTAGAGTTAAATGTATTTTGATTGAGTGCAATTAGTAGTGGCTTTTTATCAGCTGAAGATTTTCATCATTTGAAATTTTGAGTGATCAGAGTCTTTATTGAGATAAGTGACAGCCATTGTTTTCCTTACAGGTGTTTGTTTGCTTGTGGAAAGGTTGTAAGGTGTATAACACCCCGTCCACCAGTCAGAGTTGGTTGCAGCGGCACATGCTGACGCACAGTGGAGACAAACCTTTCAAGGTACGTATTTGCGGCCTTCCTAAAGTCGCTTCCTGAGCTCATCTCCTCCTTCTTAAAGTTAGCTCTCACTCTATTCTTAGCTCATGTGATGCTGAACTCCTAAGCCAAGCTGGCTTCAAAGTTGATAGCCATGCTGCCGTGGCCTCCAGTTTTTTGGGTTACAGGCTGAGCCACCATGCCTGGCTAACCTGTGTAACGAGCATGCTTTGACCCTTCTAAACATTTCTTTTCAGTGCTGAGATGCAAACGTAGGATTTTGAAGCATTTTCCCACAGACTTGTTCCCAGTGCCTTCTAAAAAAATAAAAAAACTCCTTTGTTTAAACATTTTTACTGGTGCTTAGATTTCAAAAGTAGTTGGAGATAAAGATTTAAAATTGAGTTTGAAGAATAGCAAATTCACTTTTAGGTCAGAGTCCCTTCCCTCCTTCCCCCCTCTTCTTTTTGTGAGCGGGTCTTGCTGTATAGCCCATTGACTGGAAACTCCCAGTATAGTCCAGGCTGCTCCCAACGCCTCCCTCAGCCTGAGTGTCAAAAACAGGCGCGCACTCCTGTGCCTTGCCCTTATTCAAGATCGAGTATGAGCTTTGTTTTGTTTCTTCTGCTGAAGTATTTTATTTTTTTTATTTTTTATTTTTTGGTGCTGAACTATTTTAAATAGTGTTCTAATTTATGCTTCAACAATCTTATCTTATTAATATCCTATATTATGTGAATGTATGCCCCTTTTGATTGGGAAACATTTACTTATGAGTTGAATTTTTTCAGTGTTCTCACTGTGTAACTGGATGGCTTGAAACTTGCTAAGTAGACCAAGCTGACCTTGAACTCAACAGATCTGATAGCCTCTACCTCCTAAGAGCTGGAATTATAGGTATTCACCACCATGCCCAGCTCCCACTGGACACAGGCAAGGCAGTATTTCTTTTTTTTTTTCCATTACAATATTTATTTATTTATTATGTATACAATGTTCTGTCTGTGTGTATTCCTAAAGGCCAGAAGAGGGCACACACCAGAAGAAGGCACCAGATCTCATTACAGATGGACCAGATCTCATTACAGATGGTTGTGAGCCACCATGTGGTTGCTGGGAACCGAACTCAGGACCTCTGGAAGAGCAGGCAATGCTCTTAACCACTGAGCCATCTCTCCAGCCCCCACAAGGCTGTATTTCTAAAGGTGTTAGGAGTGTGTTTAGAGTATTACAGAAACGCATATTTTCGCTGTTATAATTCTCTCTGGTTGGGTTCAGCTTGATAATTAAACACATGTATATAGCGTGTACTCATCAAATCAAGCTCTCTTTCCTTGGTTGCTCCATAGGAATCATATAAATGAGTAAAACAGTGCTGTCTAGATAGTGCATATACCAGGCACTAAAGAAAGGTGATTACGGAAAAATAGATTTTCCCCTTCAGGAAATTGGCCTTTAAAAATTTATTATTATTATTATTATTATTATTATTTTTATTATTATAGTGTTATGAGATAGTTTCCATGTAGAGCAAGCTGACCTCCTAATTCAGAGATCTTGTTGCCTTTGCCTCCTGAGTGCTGGGATTAAAGGCATATCCTACTATATAACCCCACCCCACCCTCCTAACATACATGATTCTTTGAGTGTCTGTGTCTCGATTTAGTGCATATGAAAGCAGTAGCCCTTGGAGACCAATGTCTCCAAGAAGGAGTTGGATTTCCCCAGGAGCTGTTAGCTACAAGCTGTACAGGTGTTGAGAACCAAATTCCATTCTTTTAACCAGCTTGTCTCTTGTCCTAGGTCACTCCTATACTGCTATCTGCTATCTTGCTTTAGTTGAATAAACCTCTGCTCTGCTTTTTCTTTCATTCAGTAAGTTATTGGTAAAATAAATCAAAATTGTATGAAGCAGCATTTTTTCCTTTCTATGAAATACCTGTGTTAGGTTCCACAGAAGCGTTAAACTACAGTGTTGTAATATGAGCGGCAGGGCTGCATCCCCAGCACCCCGGCCGCCTGGCTAGCTTTATACCCGAAATAATTACACCGGCACTGTATTCTTTTAAACACTGCTTGGCCCATTAGCTCTAGCCCTTACTGGCTAATTCTGATCCCGATCAACCCATCTCTAGTAAAACTGTGTAGCACCAGTCTTACCCGGAAAGATTCAGCCTACGTCCATCTTGGGTAGGAGCTCCTGTGCTTGAGAGAGCAGAGCTCTCGCGTCCGCCCAGGAGAGGAGAGGGGCCTCTGCCCAGGAGAGGAGAGGGGCCTCTGCCCAGGAGAGGAGAGGGGCCTCTGCCCAGGAGAGGAGAGGGGCCTCTGCCCAGGAGAGGAGAGGGGCCTCTGCCCAGGAGAGGAGAGGGGCCTCTGCCCAGGAGAGGAGAAGGGAGCGTGGCGTCTCTCTGAGCTCACTTCCTCTTCCTCCCAGCATTCTGTTCTGTTTACTCCTCCCATCTATGTTTTAACCTAGCAGGGCCAAGCAGTTTCTTTATTGCTTAACCAATGAAATCAACAAATTGATATATGACACTCCCACATCACTACAGTGTTCCTGTCAGTTCCTTGTTTCTCACTGGCTATGGATTGCTTCTGATCTTTGCCTGCTATGCATTAAGCTGCCTATGAACATCTTCCACCCACCTCTAGATTATACACACATATTTGGTTTTCTTTGTTACACAATGTCTTTATTACCAGCATTTCTGATTTTGGCTAAGAAGTTTGAATAATGTTTCCTCATTATAGCTTTAAATTTTGATCTTTCCAGAGATATGACCCCATGGCTTGTTGACTTGTACATTCCAGGGTAGGAGCATGAGGATTAGAATTAGTAAGAAAAAGGAATAGAGATATAAGAGAAAAAAGAGACAGGAACACAGAACGTCATCAGGAGGGACATTAAGTTAATACTGATTTTGCCTTGTTTATTTTTCACATGCTTATATATTTCACTCCAAAAGGGGAGGGGGATGCAACAGACTTCATTAGCATGATATAAGGAATAGACTTGAATTCTCCGACCTTTGGTCCAGGTGGAGCAGATTCACCTCTATATCCAAAATACTACTTAACCACACCTAGGTCAGAATGTCTTGTTTGTAGCAACCTTTTGTCAACAGCTTTGAGAGAGCAAAAATAAGCTCAAACTCTGACCTCCAGTTAAGATAGAACAGGTTCCCACAATGGCCTTTGCACATTAGGTAAGCACTCTTCTTCAAAGTTCTGTCTGGCCTTTAATCCCAGCACTCCGGAGGCAGAGGCAAGCGGATCTCTGAGTTCGAGACCAGCCTGGTCTACAAGAGCTAGTTCCAGGACATGCTCCAAAACCACAAAGAAACCCTGTCTCGAAAAACCAAAAAAAAAACAAACAAACAAACAAACAAAAAAAAGCTCTGTCTGGCTGTTTCCACTTCCATGTTTCCCATGAGTGAGGCTGATTATTTTTTAATAACCATTAAATTATTATTAAATATTATTGATATTTATTGAGCTCTACATTTTTCTCTGCTCCCCTTCCTGCCTCTCCCCTCTCCCCTTCAACCCTCCCCCAAGGTCCCCATGCTCCCAATTTAATCAGGAGATCTTGTCTTTTTCTACTTTCTACTTCCCATGTAGATTAGATCTATGTAAGTCTCTCTTAGTGTCCACATTGTTGTCTAAGTTCTGTGGAATTAGGGTTTGTAGGATGGCTTTCTTTATGTTTAAAAACCACCTATGAGTGAGTACATGTGATAATTGTCTTTCTGGGTCTGGGTTACCTCACTCAAAATAATGTTTTCTAGCTCCATCCGTTTTCCTGCAAAATTCAAGCTGTTATTTTTTTTCTGCTGTACTGTAGTACTCCACTATGTAAATGTACCACATTTTCCTTATCCATTCTTTGGTCAAGGGGCATTTAGGTTGTTTCCAGGTTTTGCCTATGACAAACAATGCTGCTGTGAACATAGTTGAGTACGTATCCTTGCAGCACGATTAAGCATCCTTTGAATATATACCCCAAAGTACTATTACTGGGTCTTGAGGGAGGTTGTTTCCTAATTTTCTGAGAAATCCTCACACTGACATCCAAAGGGGTTGTACCAGTTTGCATACCCACCAGCAATGCGGAAATGTTCCCCTTTCCCCACAACCTCTCCAGCATAAGTTGTCATCAGTGTTTTTGATCTTGGCCATTCTTTCAGGTGTAAGATGGAATATCAGCGTTGTTTTGGTTTGCATTTCTCTGACTAAAGATTTTGAACATTTCCTTAAGTGTTTTTCAGCCATTTTAAATTTCTCTGTTGAGAGTTCTCTGTTTAGGTGTTTACTCCATTTTTTATTGGATTATGTGTTCTGTTGGTGTCCAATTTCCTAAGTTGTTTGTATATTTTGGAGATCAGACCTATCTGATGTGGGGTTAGTGAAGATCTTTTCCTATTCTGTAGGCTGTTGTTTTGTCTTATTGACAGTATGCTTTGCTTTACAGAAGCTTTTCAGTTTCAGGAGGTCCCATTTATTGTTTCTCTTAGTGTATGTGCTGCTGGAGTCATATTTTGCATTCAAGTGTGCTTCCCACTTTCTCTTCTATAAGGTTCAGTGTGCCTGGCTTCATGTCTTATCTGCCAAGCCATATCCAGCTCCAGGCTATCTTTTCTCTTTATATGTTGCTGACACCTTTGAAAATTGAAATTTACTGATTACATTTAACACAAAATTATTTGATAGTCCCTTGTATAGATTAGGCTGACCTTGAACTCACAAAAATTTGCCTGCTTGTGCCTAAGTGCTTGGATTAAAGGCATGTGCCACCATCACTCAGTTTAATTTTGGTTTTTCAAGACAGTATTTCTCTGTATAACATTCCTAACTGTCCTGGAACTCGCCCTAACTGTACTAGAACAGCTGTGTAGACCAGGCTGACCTTGAACTCAGATCTGCCTGCCCCTGCCTCCTGAGTGTGCCACTGCCAGGCTTGTTTTTCTTTCTGAAGTCTTGAAGACAGAACTCAAGGCTTTTGTGCTTGGACCTATCACTGACCTACAGACACAGCCCAATACATGAGTTTAGCTCTACTGCTGTTGCAGTTATTATTTTTTCTGTGTCTTGCTGAATTTGTAGATACCCTTCTGGGCAGGAAGTTTGTTTTGTTCATTCCTGTTCTTGTACCTTGTACACTAGTCTATTGGGAAGTGTTTGCACTGATAGCTCACTCCAGTCATTCATCCTTCTCATTCACTGAGCTCCCATAAAGTGAGTGTAGAGTCTTGTTTGTTTTTATTGAGCTATACATTTTTCTCCGCTCTCCTTTCCTCCCATCTCTCTTTCTACCCTCTCCTGTGACTCCCATAGTCTTAATTTACTTAGGAGATTTTGTCTTTTTCTCCTTCCTATGCAGATCCATGTATGTCTCTCTTAGGGTCCTCTTTGTTGTCTAGGTACTCTGGAGTTGTGGAATATAGGCTGTTTTTCTTTTCTTCTTTTTTTGCTTTATGTCTAAAAGCCATTTATGATATGTACATATTTATCTTTCTGGGTATGGGTTACCTCACTCTATGTTTTTTTCTAGATCAAATCCATTTGCCTGCAAATTTCAAGATGTCATTATTTTTTACCACTGTGTAGTGCTCCGTTGTGTAAATGTACCACATTTTTTAAATCCATTCTTCTGTTGAGGGACATCTAGGTTCTTTCCAGGTTCTGGCTATGACAAATAATGCTGCTATGAATAAGATTTTCAAAGAAGAAATAGTACCAGCACTACTTAACACGAATGTAGAGTCTTAATAAAAACACTAGGTACCATTTTTATTAGCACTATATAATAAGTAGCTTGTTGAATGTTTGGGCTGTCGTTAATTTTAGAAGACTCTGTAAGCACACAGCTGTTGATTTCCACTACTATACAAAAACATGTCTGATTCACAAGGTGTTCTGGGCTTAAAATATGCATAAGGATGTTCATATTTCCAAAATCCATTGAGAGTGTGCATTGGGGTTTGTATACTCAGTGAATGTGTAATGGCAGACCCAGGTGAGGACACAGCTTGGTACTCACTGATAGCATAATGTGCTGATTTTTTCTCTGAAGTTAGGATTGGTAGTGTCTTGGATAGAAGAGCCGGGAAGTGTGGAGAATGATATTGTGGACGTTTTAGTGTTGAACTTTACTAATTACATATTTGTACTTTATTTTCTAAGTCAGAAACTGAGTAAATTGGATCTGTGAGAATGTCCTGTAACATAACATTAGATCTAGAAGTCTAACAAATACATAAAGCTTTTCAAACTCTTCAGATTTCTTTCCTACTTGTTAAACAGCATAGAAAAAACAAGGAGGCATCTGAAAGGTTTTGTGGATACACACCACATGCTCACACTCAGAGGTCACTTCTCCTGCCTTCCAAGTGTTGGGGTTAAAGGCATGTACCATCGCCGCCCAGCTGGTTATGCTGCATGGCTTTAATCCTAGCACTCTGGTAGAAGAGGCAGGAGGATCTCCGAATTGGATGCCAATGTGGTCTAGAAGTAAGTTTCAGGCTAGATAGGGCTTTTAGGGAGATTTTTTTTTTTTATTTTTTAATAAAAATCAACAGTATCTAGGAATTGGAGTAACCATTGGGGAGTAACCTTCCTATCCTGGTTATAAATACGGTTTATTCAAAATCATCTCATCTAGGAAGCTGATTCTGTAGGTGTTGGACGTGGGGAGAGCAGTGAGATCAGGTTTGGAAATAGCCGTGCCACTGCTAAGTGGTGTGCTGTTGGAGAACTGTTTTCAAAGTCAGCTTGTAAAAAACGTGCTTCATGCATAACCTTGACAGCCCCTTTCTTTCTTCTTTTTAGTGTGTAGTTGGTGGCTGCAATGCCAGCTTTGCTTCTCAGGGAGGGCTCGCTCGCCATGTACCCACACACTTCAGTCAACAGAATTCCTCAAAAGTTTCTAGCCAGCCAAAGGCCAAAGAAGAATCTCCTTCTAAAGCTGGAATGAACAAGAGAAGGAAACTAAAGAACAAAAGACGACGCTCATTACGTAAGTGTTCACTTAGAAAGCCTCTGTGTAGGAAAAAGGCTTTATGTGAGTCCAGTTTTACTGGTACTGAGTTTGGCTTGTTGCTATCCATGGGAAGTAATACACGGTACCTGCCTGTCAACATGAGAACTAGTGAGAAATGTTTGTAGAAGCTAAGCTAAAAGAGTGTTAAGTGTATGTGATCTTAGAATATAAACTATATATATTTAGAGAATCAGATATCAGGAGTAATTTAATTTATTATAAATTAGAAAATTTTAAACATGACAGTGCTTGTTTCCAGAATACTTTAGAAAAATACCGAGTGTGTCAGAAGTAAAAATTACATAAAAGTTAAGTAAACCAAAATGTAGAATGTATGTTTGCAATATGAACATATGAAGATTTTGTTCTTAATTAGTGGGTTATAAAATACTCCTTTGATACTTAAGGGTCAAATAATTAGATAATCAGAGATCCCCAGTGCTGGGATTATAGCTGTGTGCCACTAATCTAGACCCCCTTTTTTGTTTCTTTTCCAGGCACTCTCAGCCTAGCCCAGGCTGGCCTCCAACTCTTTATCCCCTGATCCCACTTCTGCCTGTTGAGCATTCTTAGAAAGTGAAAGTGGGCAGGCATAGTTCAGTACCCAGTCATGCTTAGGCCTGGCATATGTGTTGCTTGAGGAGATGGTGCTCTGACCTGCAGTTTCTGTTAAGGCCACCTGCTAAGGTGGGCCGAGTGCTAGTGACAGGTGTGGATGGAAGCACTTTTTACTGTTAGGGGTTTTGTTTGTTTGGGGAGAATGAATGGATGTTGCTCTCAACTTTAAAACATGCAGAGCCTTTCAGTTTTGGGGACCACTGTTCAGACAGACAGTGCTGTGGTTTGAATTCCATTTTTCCTCTAAAACACATAGTCATGATGGATTCAGAGAGTTAGTTTGTCAGCATTTTACCCAGGGAATTCATTGCAGTCATTTTACTTCATCCATCATAGGTCTTCAGTAGAACTAAAGCATTACTTCTTTCCTGTCTCCTCTCCGGTAAAAGCTGGATTAGAATCAGGATTATCAGTACTTTAACTCTTTGGAGATTACCTTTTCTGAGTGTCTGAGAATGGATCTTGGTACAGGCCCTGAACTCCTGACCCTGCACTCATTCTTCCCAAGAGTTTAGAGTGAGCTGCTGAACCTGGCTTAATTGTGGTTTTATTTCTGATATACTAAAACATGAGATTGCTGTGAGTTTGAGGCCAGCCTTGGCTATCTGTATAAGGCATTTCAGACCAGCCTGGGTTAAATAATGAAATCAAAGATTTTAAAGACAAAACAACAATCTATGAATGAGGGTTAAGATTAAACCATGTGCACAGTTACACAGTTGAGAACTGGTTGAGACTTAGAAATGTATTGATGGGGTAGAGTGCCTGTCTTACATGTTGGAGCCCCTGGCCTCAGTCCCGAGGATTTAGTTACATATTTGGCCGAGTGCAGTGGCTTGTGTCTGGCTAAAGTGAAAGGATTATTTGAGCTCTCTAGTGTTCCAAGGCTTGATTGGCAACATAGGTGCCATCTCAGATTTTTATGTGCAATTTTTCTTAAATTTTTTTACTTGGGACATTTATTTATCAAGAAAATACTGGTTGAAAGCTTAGAACTAATATTGCCTCATTGTCACAAATTTGGAAAGATTTTTGATAGCATAAAATGAGTTCATGAAATTACAAGGTAAGTTTGAAACCTCCTTGTTGTACTAGTGATGGTGAAATGGTACAAATTTGGTTTTGAGGATTTTTATGAAAAAGTAAAGCTGCTGGAGTGTGGAATGGTGGAGTGTGAGGGTAAGAAGCTGGGGAATAAAGGAGTTGCTGTGTTCATTGATGATTGGAATTCTGCCTGTCCTCAATTTATCAGAGCTCTACCCTGAACACAAAGACACATGTAACTAGGCCATGGGCAGGACTTGCTTTTGCTAATCCCTCCAGTTAAAGCAGCGCTCTCCTGGGTTTGGTAAATACCTGAGCATTTAGCAGATTGTTGAAATTTTCTAAACTGTCTTTAACTTTTTTTTGTGTGTTGACTTTCAGCACGACCACATGATTTCTTCGATGCACAAACACTGGATGCCATAAGACATCGAGCCATATGCTTTAACCTCTCGGCTCATATAGAAAGTTTAGGGAAGGGACACAGTGTTGTTTTTCATAGTACTGTAAGTATTCTGTTTCTTTCAAATTATATGAATTTGGGGGCAGGGAAAGCATGTGTTTCTCACGATTATATTTCTAAATTGCTCAATTTAGGAAATTTTGTTAACAGTCAAAGTATGTTGGATGTGGTGGTACATGCCTACGATCCCAGTACTGTGCAGGCTGAAGCAGGAGAATCTTATGTTAAAGACCCGCTTGGACTACAGAATAAGTATCAGGCCAATCCAGGCAGCAGAGTTACTCAAAATGAAGAATAGGGATGTAGTTCAGAGATAGAACAGTTTCTAGCATACATATATGTTCAATCCCCTGTCCCTAGTACCAAAAACCAAAGCCAGGCAGGGCTGGGGGTGGAGGTGTAATTGAGGTCATCAAATCACAAGGCAGGAAGAGATATTTAGATGTGCTTTGTTTCATAGGTATAACCCTGTTTCTTAGATTTGTGGCTGGCCAGCACACTGTGAAGAGTCACTATTTCTAGGGGCTAGGCCTTCAACTCAGAAGAAGAAGAATGCCATTTTGAAAAAGCAAAGCTGTAAGATCAGTTTAGTCTTTGGTTAGCTAGGAATTAATTTTATTGTCCATTCAAAAAAATTAATCTTATGTGCGTGTATATGTGCCTGGATGTACATCTGTGTACCATGTGTTTTTGGTGTCTGAGAAGATCGAATATTGTGAAACTGGATTCACAAACATTTGTACGCTGCTGCCTGGTTGCTGGTTCTCTTCAAGGGCAGCCAAAGAGACCTTTGTCTCTGCAGTCAATGGATGTAGTTTTGCAAAGGTTTTTAGACTTCTGGCATTTCGAATTCTTGGAAAAATGAATGTGTAATTTTGTCTTTTAAAATTGTTACTGGTACTGTGGAAAGATGGCTCAGTAGTTAAGAGTGCTTGCTGCTCTTGCGGAGGACCTGGCACCGTGTCAGGTGGCTCATAGCCATCTGTAACTCAACTCCATGCGAACCAACACCCTCTTGTGGTTTGTGGGCATTCTCTGGTAGAAATCTTGATTGTGCAGAGTTGTGGTGTGTGTACGAGTGCACATACTGTGGTGCATGTGAGGAGGGCAGAGTTCTTTCCTTCACCCTTAGTTCCTAAGGATGACATTCAGATCTCCAGGCTTATGCAGCAATTTCCATTTCTCTAGTTTAGTTTCCATTTTGAAACACAAGCTAGAATTGGGCAACTCTTGCTTTCTATTTCAGCAAAATGGAGATTTGAAGTATTAATTGTTGGAGTAGATCATAGATTGGCATCTCACTTTATCTCCTATTGACATTTCTTGTACTCAGGTTTTTGAGGGTGAATGTCATAGCTCCAGAGGTTAAGGAAAAACACTTTTGAGTTGTTGGTAGTATTTCAAGTTTGACTATGCTTGAAAAACAAGGTAGTGAGTATAAATGGAAGTCAGATACGTGAAAGATGTGGGAAAATGAGTGGAGCAATTCACCTGTGCTTCTGTGCCCATCCTATGGAACCTACTGGTTTTGTATTATTTTTTTTTCTAGACAGGGTTTCTTTGTGTAGCCCTGGCTGTCCTGGGACTCTTGCTCTGTAGACCAGGCTGGCCTCACAGAGATCCACCTGCCTCCGTCTCTGCCTTCCTTGTGAGCTGCCACTGCCCCACTTAAATTTTTTCTGATGTATAGATCCTAGATTCTGGTTTGATAACAAGCTGATTGAAGTTTAATCTTGTTAAGCATGAGAGGAAAGGTGGGTCTAAGGCCTGAGTGAGACAAGCAGGATTCCTGGAGCTCATTGAGCAGCCAGTCTGCCAGTCAGTGAGTTCCAGGCTAAGTGAGAATCCCTATCTCAAAAAACATCGCGCATACAACCCAGCAACAAAACTAAGAAGTGGAAAGCTGGCAGGACAGCCTAGTGGTGAGAGCTCTGCTGCTGAGCTGAACGGCCTGAGTTTAATCCTGGGGACCCATATGTTAGAAGAGAACAAAGTACACTAAATTGTGGCCTGCATGTGCACACATGGCAAAGAGAGAAGGGAAGGAAGATAGTTGCTGGTGCACACCTTTAATTCCTGCACTTGGGAGGCAGAAACAGGAGGAACTCTTGAGTTTCTTGAGACCCAGCCTGGTCTACAGATCGAGTTCCAGGATAGCCAGGGCTACAAAGAGAAATCCAGTCTTGAAAAACAAAACAACAAGAATTAACAAGATACTGTTGAGACAGTTTTCCATTATGTAGACCTGGCTGGTTTAGAACTCAAGAGTTCTTTGCCTTTACCTCCCTAGTGTTGAGATTAAATTTGTGATTCACTCACTCGGGAGGCAGAGGCAGGTGGATATCTGTGAGCTCAAGACCAGCCTGGTCTGCCAAGTGAGTTCCAAGACAGTCAGGACTGATAACACAGAGAAACCCTGTTTTAAAAACAGGCAACAATAACAAAAAGCGTGCTTCATCAAACTGACCTTAAAAAACTATTTAAGATAAAGTAATGTGATAAACAATTGAGGAAGACACCTTATTGAGTGAATGAGTGTGTGTGTGTGGGGGGGGGTTGTTGAACACATGCATGCCCCATAATTTTTTTTTGATTGGTTGATTGTTTTCTTCTATGTATTGTGTGTGTAAATAACCCCGATTAAATTAAATATCCCTATCATTTTGATCACACTTAGGCTCACTAGGAGAAAATAGGGATCCTCCTCCAAAAGAAAAGAAAAAAGTTAAGAATGACGGGAAATTAAATTATAGTGTCTCTTGTATGCTTAGTAATTGAGCAGCGAGTGATGCAAACCTGTAAGTGCATGAGCATAAGGGCCTAGCCTGAGAAGAGAATGGACAAAGTATAAACTGATGAACCTTGCCTGGGAAAGCCAAGTGAAGGGCTGGGCATCCTTGTGAGTTACTTCAGTGGATACCAGTGTATGTTAAGTATAAGCCACCTTTAAATAAGAAAAGATTTGGAACATAGTCTACACATGCTGGCTTCAAACTTCAGACTTCACCTTCCTGATAAAACACACACTGCACACACACATCTGCACACACCTTCACTGCACGTGCACCCCTTGCCCTTGTAAGTTTTAATGAAGCACATATTTAATCACAGTCTACACAGGCTGGCTTCAAACTTGAGAGTCTTCAACTTCCTGCTAAAACACGCACTCACGCACATACACAAACCCTCACTGCATATGCGCGTCCCTCCCATGTCAGGTTTAGTGAATCACTTATTTAATCAGTCTATACAGACTTTGGCTTCCTGCTCAAACACAGAGACAGACTCACCAGGAAGCAACGCATTTAATCTGATCAGACAAATGAATCTTTTTTTTTTGTTTTTCGAGACAGGGTTTCTCTGGTTTTGGAGCCTGTCCTGGAACTAGCTCTTGTAGACCAGGCTGGTCTCGAACTCTCAGAGATCCGCCTGCCTCTGCCTCCTGAGTGCTGGGATTAAAGGCGTGCGCCACCACCGCCCGGCTCAAATGAATCTTTTGAGTTCTAGGTCAGCCAGGTCTACATAAGGAGATACTATCTCAAAACATCTTAAACATCTACTTTAAGTGGAAATGCTTAATACAAACTGCACATGTAAATTTCCCTGTTACTGTCATAGGACATAACTTTAGTGGTCATGAAGCAGTTTAGACTGCTTTCGTGTGCTAATGATGTCTTAATTGAAGTTTTCTCCAGAAGAGGTCAGCAGAACCCTCGTTTCCAGTTCAGTTACTGTGCTTACTTGGTTTCTGTTCTGTCATTTGTAGGGTTCTGCTTTAGTACTTCCAAATCTACTTTTGAGCTCTATCATTAGTTGCCAAGTCTAAAATTAGGGATTTATTCAACCACCAGTTTTTATATAATGGAGGAAGTAACTTTTATTTAAAGTTCTTTTCAGTTTCTGTATGTTTTCAGAATAACATTGTAGTATAGGGTATTTGTAACTTGAATTCGGTAAATGGTATTTTGTACATTGTAACAGGACATGCTAAAGCACCAATGTCAGAGTGTGTTCACTTTCTTCCATGTAGATCAAGGGTCAAACTCGGCTTTTGTAGAAAGTGCTTTTAACTGCTGATCCATCTTGACAGCCATTAGTTGCTTTAATGTTTTTGTAGTTTTAAAAATTCATTTACTTATATTAAAATCATGAGCATATGTTTTGGTGTTTTCATATTAGTGCAGGCCCTGTGGCGATTTCAGTGTTGTGGGAAGAGGTTGGAGTGTACAAAGCAGCAATGACAAGAATTTTGTGGTGGCAGTGCCTTTGCTCCTGCATGGCCACTTCAAGTTCTTCCTAATTGTGTAGAAAAATGGTGTCTCATAGTTTTTGTCCTTTCTTTCTTTTTGTAATGTTACTAGGTAATAGCTAAGAGAAAGGAAGAATCTGGAAAGATAAAGCTCTTGCTTCATTGGACGCCTGAAGACATGTAAGTGTTTGCACTGTGTGTAAAAAATTTCATTTTGCCAGATGGAGGTGACACACACCTTTAATCCCAGCACTTGAGAGGCAGACACAGGGAGGTCTCTGAGTTTGAGACCAGCCTGGTCTACAACTTAAGTTCCAGGACAACACAGAGAAACCTGTATCAAAAATTTTGAATGTAAAAATTATTTAACTTATTAAAATAGAAGTCTTAAGAGAAATTGAATTGTACTGTGCTTTGAGGTTGTCAAGTTGGCAATTGAATGTTCTAGGATCTTTTTATACTTTTTTTAGTTCACTGCACCCACTTCATAAGGAAGCTTCTGATGAGGGCTAAGAGGAGCACTAGTCAGTGTGTATAGAACTTCAGGGCAGCTTGATAGTGTCCCCCCAGTAAAGGTTAGCAGCAGGTTCTCCCTGGGGCTTCTGACCCCTTCTGCCATGGCTGCATGGCCAGGTTAGGAGGCCAGCACTAACCATCTTTGTCAAGTGGGTCTTACATTCATTCAGAAAGCTGCTACATGGGTAACATCCATGCAACCATCGAAAGTTTTCCTTTAGATAAGGTCTTTTCATATAACCCACTACCAGTGAACTCATGAACTTCCTGCCTCTGCCTTCTTAAATTATGGGATTATAGATGTGAGCTACTATGTCTTGTACTGATTGTTTTTCCTTCTTTTTTTTTGGGGGGGGGGGAGGGATTTTGAGACAAGGTTGTATGGAACCTAGGCAGTTTTTGAGTTCTTGCCTCTTCTGTTTTCTATTTCAAGGCTTGTACTACCATGCCTTCCTCATTTGATACTAATGTATTTTTAGATTTATTCTTTGTTGATGATGATCTTTGAGGAGCCTTTTGATACCCAACACCCACATGGCTCCTCACACTTTTCATAACTCCAGACACCCTCTTGTGACGCCAGGGCACCAGGCACACACATAGTACACAGATATACACATAAATAGAACACTCATACATATAAAATAAAAACATCTTTAAAAACATGTCAAATTTAAATGCCTTTATAATCCTATTATTGTGGAAATTGAACAGTATAGATATTAAAGTACTAAATTAAAAGTATTAAATTTTATAAATATCTTCAAATTCAGAATTTTGTTACATATACATTTTATTTTCTTTCATATGGGCTCAGTCTCGAGGGGGCCTCTCTGTCCTTGGTACTTTTGGTATTTGCTGTACTGCTGAGCTCATGGATGGATTGATGGAGTTTTCCTTTGTTAGTGAAGAAATAGTTAGATTTTCACTAACTTCTCAGTTAGAAGCCACATTATACAAATTCCTGGTCCACCCTACTGTGTGCCGTGGTCTGTGTCTGGCTCCTGAGTATAGATGGCCTGAACATCTGTCTTTGCAGAAGTACATAGGTGTCCCCCTTAAAGAAAGGGACAGGAAAGGCTAGAGAGTATGAAGACCAAGGGACAATTAATCTGGGACAATTGCAAATTATTGACTTTTCTTTAATTCATAGTCTGCCAGATGTGTGGGTGAATGAAAGTGAACGACATCAGTTAAAAACTAAAGTAGTTCATTTATCAAAGCTGCCCAAAGATACTGCCTTGCTGTTGGACCCAAACATTTACAGGTAATTGACTTCATGACAATATGCTTTCCATTTTGAATTGCTATCTTGAAGTTTTCTAAATTTTGCATAAGTTGGGGTTGATTTTTCAGTTCATATTGAGTACCCTTTATCCAAAATGCTGAGCTTTTGTTTTCATTTTACCTAGACATGGCTAATTTAGCATCCTTCATCAGAATGCTCAAAATCATGTTGATGATTCTGCCTTTAGAATCTACTTCCGGAGGGTAGATTTTTGGACTTGAAATGATCAACTTGTTCTTGGTTTCTCTGTCCAATAGACTTTGTAGTATTTTTTTTATTTACTTTTTTGAGGGGTGCAGGGTTTGTGGGGATCAGGGTCTTATATAGCTCAGGCTACCCAGACTTGCTATGTAGTCAGTGCTGCTTACCACTAGGTTGGGGCATTTATAAGCACATTGACATTCTGTGCTTTTTAAAAGCGTGGGTGTGATATTACAAAGAACTAAGAGTTTTAGAATCCAGAAGCAGTATTTTAATAAAGTTCATATGCATGTTCAATTCTAAATTTATTTTGAATGGCTTAGATTATGATATACAAATATTTTGAGATTATTTTGAAAATGTGATATTGAGGCTGGGAAAATGGCTGCTTTGGCAGAGGACCGCAGGTTAGTTTTAAGCACCCACATTAGCTCTGGCTCTAGGGGAATCTCACACCTCTGGCCCCATGGACACCAGTGCACATACGATAGTCACTCACTCAGATATGCACACATACATGTTAATCAATGTAAACCTTAATTTAAACAGATGTGGTTATCTGTATTTAAGTCAGAATTTTGTGGGCCAGAGAATAAAATGAATGTGTCCTAAATGCCATGTATTTCATTTCCTTTCTCCACAAACTTTTCCAAAGAGCAGTTTAAGTAGCAGTGTGTTTCTAAGTATTTCAGGGGCTCCTGTTTCTAAGCGTGGTTGACCTGGCTATTCTAATAGATAGTGGCGCTAGGAAGAGAGGTGGCCAGGAGTGTTTCTTAGGTGAGAAGTCACTTTTGTAAGTGCTTAGTACTCACCACAGCAGCCTGTCTGGTGTCAGTGTCTCCGCATTTAGATTGGAAATGAAGTCCAAGGTCACACATGAATGCTGTATCCAAATAACTACTCAGGTGTTTAAACCAGTGATTAAAAAGGCACTTGACTTCATATTTTTAGAACGAAGACACATTTATGTTTTTCTCATGAGAATGGGTTGGCCAGAAGTCAGATGATACTGATAATTTCCGAATGTTTTCCTGTCCTGTAGATCAGGCTGGCCTTCAAATTCAGAGATCCACCTGCCGTCTCCTCTCTGAGAGTAAAGGTGTGTGCCGCCACCACCTGGCATATTTTTTAACTGTCATAAATGAGCTGTTTTGGAGTAGTATAGGTTAAAGTAGTGGGGATTAAACTGCGGGACCCAGCATCCTACCAGCTGGTTTATAGCCCCCATCCCTAAGACAGTAATCAAAAATACCTTCAGAGGCTCTGCCCCTCCTGTGACTCCTGGTTGTGATGCTGTTCAGTGTGTCAGGAAAAAATAAGATGATTGGGAGTTTATTTGCTGTTACATAACTTAGATTCGATTCTGCTGACTGGGGAGATAATTGAAACTGGCACCCTAGGAGAGCAGTGTTCTGGGAGAGCTCGTCTTTTAGAACTGGCTCTAAACACCCTCAGAGTTGACAAGTTGGGATGTGTCTTCGTGCTTCTAATCTGTGTTCTCTTCTTTTTTCATACATCAACTTATTTTTGTGCTATTGTGTTTTGTACAGTACAAAGCAGTTGAGATGTCTTAGTGAAGATGATTTAAAATATTCTCCATGCTTGGAATTTATGTTCCAAAAGTAGCTGATAGAAGCGAGGTTGGCTGGTTCAAGATATTTGATTCTTCTGTTTTTTGAAAGGTTTCTTGGGAAATGAGGACTTTCTTGACATTAGGTGCTTTTGTGTAGCCCAAACTATCTTGGAATTCCACATTCTCTTGCCTCAGTCTTCCAAGTAACTTGGTTTATAGGCATGCCTCATTACACCTGGCTTGTATGTTAGCTGTGAAAACAACCAGCCAAAATGAACCTCCTCCCCCTCAAACCTTAGCACTGAATTTTGTCTTTGGTGCTTCTTCTCTTCTGGAAGTTGGAACAGAGAGGGTACTTTAGTGTAGTACAGTCATAAAGGATTGGGTGTTTCTTGGTGTGATTAGGGTTTGAGGGTCTGGAATTTGATTGGAAAACAATTATTTCAGCTTTTTGAGCAATGATATCTTGCTAATATACATCTCAAAATGAAAGTATTACTGTTCCACTAAAGATACACACTTTATTTGCAATGAAACTATAAGAGCATTTCTTTGAAATTTAAATATACATTTAAAATAGTAGTTAAAATTGCATGTTAGATGTGGAACTCTTGATAAAAAGAAACATCAGATTATAGAGATTTTTATTAAAACCACGTAAACTTATATTCATTATATCTGTACATTTTAGAAATTGCTTTTGTTTTCAATATATGTTTGTTTCTTGGGATAGGGTTTTTCTATGCTGCCTCAGATATCCTTGAAATCCTGGGCTCAAGCACTCCCCTGCCTCAGTCTTGAGTAGATGGGACTGAAGGCTTGTAGCAGCACTTGAAAATACCTGTCATCATCACTGCGTTCAGATCTACAAGGATTTTTAATGTTTCTGTAGTAGTACTCAGTGTTTTTTGATTCAATTGAATAAAGAATATCTTTCTTTTTCTTTTTCTAGAACAATGCCACAGAAGAGGTTGAAGAGGTAAAACATACATAAATACATAAAAGCAAACAAGCGGGGCCACCTGCAGTCTTAGTCACTGACAATGGGCTTAGGGAAAGTTGCACATTAGAGTCAACCCCTTCCTCTTTTATTTTTATGTCCAGTATTTAGAGTAATATTTATGCTTAGTGTGGACATTCTGTGAATGAAGTAGGTCTTCTGTGGAATATATTAATATATTACTGTAGTCCACATGTCATGGAATGACGCTGTGGGAGACTGCACAGACACTCTCTGGCAACTCAGTTGAACAGCTTCTGAAAGGCTTTGCATGCTCGCTGCTTAAGCTGCTTTTTTTTCTTCCCCTTAGTGATGACAGTTTTATTGGAAAGACAAACAATTGACCTTAAAAATACCAAAAGCACTGTAAGATACTCACCTTGACAGTGTGTATCGATTTGAAGTCCTAATAGAAAATATTTAGACAGTGGAAATTATCGAGAGATAATTAACCTTTCAGCTATGATAAATAGATGTGATTGGTTGCCATTTGTGTTCTTTTGCAGAACTCTGATAAGAAAAATGTTCAATTTGTATTTAAGCAAACAGTGAACGACATTTGCAATCAACTAAAAATTCGTCTATTGAATTAGGTCTGAGAATTACTGTTAAGAGTGTTGCCGTATGTCTGTTGGCTCCCTTTTCAGGACTAGGGTCTTCATGGGGTACAGTGTGTTATATTTACCTACATAACTATTCTTGTTAATGGTTTTTGAAAAAAACCGCAATTTCAAATTATTTGAATAATCTTCATATTTTCATTTAACCAGTGACTCTAACTTTTTTTTCCTGAGGAAAGTGTTGGTTTGAGTTTTTTTTCTTAATGTAAAAAAAAAAAAAAATATTTTTTTTAAAGTATCTTCAAACCGAACCTTTTATGCACCAAAGTTGGTTTTGAAAAGGAAAATAAAATCACTTTCTTGCTTGGCAAGCAAGAAGCCATATGGAATTTTTTTAACTTTACAGAAATGGAAAATATGTGTAACTTGTCAGTACTGTATCAAACAAATGTCACATAGAGATAATAGAGTGTTGCTTGTAAATAATCGAGCAGATTTGTAATATATTTTTCTATTATGAAATGTACTGTAGATGTTTTCTAGAGGCATGAAAGTCAATGTATATATTATGGTAGAAATAATATTGAAGGAAATTGTAACTCACTAGTGCTGCCAGAGGGATTGCTAACAAAGCACCTTTAACAAGAGATGTCTTTGCAGACTGAAGGGACTGTGTACTACTGTTAATGTCTAAGAACAAAGCATTGGACGTCCTTCCAGACCCTCTCCTCGAGGGTCGTGGCCCTCCCCTGACAGTGACTGAGTGGTTGTTCCGACTGTGGGAGCACATCCTGTAAAGCTGTGCTGTGCAGTTAGACTGCAGAAGCGCTCCTCCTCAGGAGTTCCCACTCCTGCACTGACAGGAAAACCAGCAGTTTTTACGCTCAGTTTTTTAAAAGAAAGTAGACAACAATATAAAATTAAACCTTTGGTTCCAAAATGGGAAGGGTTCCATGATCATTTCTCATTTGCTTTTAAAAGCAAAACCAGACACAAAAGGTACTAAAAGTATTGGAGGCTTGAACAGGACAGGGGTAAGAGGTAGACGTGGAGAGAGTCATCGCTGCTGAGGGACCCACGGGAAAGCACTGCCAATGAGGACACTCTGGAACGGCCGTCTAATGTGCTCTGTAGCAAACGGGAGTCTATTTTCAAAAGAAGAAAAGCAGTGTGTTCTTACTATTTTTTTTTTCTTTTGCTTAAGCACTTCATCATTTGTTTTATTCTATCTGCGAAATACTCTGCAATCTTCTTTGTTCCTTTTAAATTTTGGTTTGTTATAACATTGCCAAATAGAAGTGTTTTGGACATAGAGTTTGTACCTGTATTTTTATTTTACTGTCTCATGTTCTTGTAAGTCATTCTTAATTGACCGATGATTGTAGACTTTGCTTGAGTATTTTTTCTAATAAAACAAAGCAAATCACATTTAGCTTCAAATTGTAACAATTCAATTTAATTTTCAGATGATATCTGGAAATACACATCCAACATTCTTTAGTGTATATAAAACAGATTAGTTACTGTCATTGTATAGAAAAATTTAGATGTCAAAACCATATTGCTGGTTATTGATTAGCCTCTGAGTACTCGGTTATTCATGGTCCCTGGTGATGTGATGTGGGTTTGACATTTACTAGCACACCAAGAAGTCTATGAAGTAAGCAAGCTAAGCTAGTTGTATAACTTGTACGTATACATACTTACACACACATTCAAGTCTGATTGGAAAGTGTGGACATTTTAGTCTGTAATGTTCATTAATGTTTCTTCTTCCTCAGCTCTGTGTGCGCTTCCTGTGCCCACATGACACTTTGTGGTGGGCCTCGGATTATGTTTCTGTTTACAAATCCATGTCTAGTCCATCCAGCATTGGACAGTTTGTAGCCCACAGGCACATTTATTTATTTTCATGTATGTTACCTGATTTTCCCCCTACATTTTGGAGTAGTGAGACCTCAGGGGCCTGCAAGCCTGAGGTATTTAGTGTCTTCATCATAAAAAGATGTTTGTTCTTCCCTTGTATAGCTGATAAAAATTTTGGAGCAGTAAACATAGACCATACAGTTTATTTGTACTTAATATGGCAGTGTTGTGACGTTGGTATTGTGCACAATGCTAAGTTTTTGAGAAGGCCATCTCATACATACACTTTGCAGGAGGCACTCCCATGGGCACTGGAAACACATGGTGTTTGGGTGGAGCTTCCATGTTGGATTTCTTAATATTGTTGAGAACCCACCATTTTACCAACTGTTTTGTATTACAGGGATTAAGTGAGAATCTGTAAATCAGATTCTGTGTTTCAACCAGAAGTAACATTGGTTTTATCTAAAAGAATCTTGAAATAAGAAATATTGTAAAATTTTAAAGTTCTTTATTTTTCTATTAAACCTTTTCATACACTAATGTAGTTACGCATTAATTCTGAATTTCAGATGAAAGGAAAATAAAGTGGAAAATAATTAACCTTCAAGTATTTTCAAATGTGTCTAACTCATTGACAGTAGAAAGCTGGGTGCACTGACTAAGCCTGCAATTGGGAGGACAAAGCATGAGGATTACCAAGAGTTTGAGGCCAGAGTGCGACCTTGAGTCAGAAGAAACAAAAAATGTTGATAGCTATAGTTTTTTTCCCCCCTCTGTCTTACATATTAATAAAGTAGGGGCCATCGAAGTGGCTCAACAGTAAAGGTGCTTGGTGACAGGCCCAGCGGCCCGAGTTCCATCCTGGGATCCACATGGCACGGGGAGAGAACTCTGAAACTGTCCTGTCTGCCCCACCCCCAAGTAAAGAGACATCAGTAAAACTTTAAACATGAAGATGGTGGAATTTGCCATAGTTTAAATGTGTTGTTTGCTTTTTGAGTTATTTTTCTTGATTCACGGTTAACAATAGATATGAGATATTTAATACTGAGTGGATATCAGAATGGGTAAATGTGGTTGAGCTAGTTTAAATACTTTGAGTGGCTGTGTAGTCACAGCTTTAATTTTTTATGTTTATAATCCTCATAAGTTCTAAAGGTAAACCAAATGTTAGCCTATTTAGATTTGTAATACAAAGCCTGACATGTTGATGTGTCTAAGGAGGCCTCAGGTTGCAGATATACATATTAATATATATAGAGAGGTTATTTATAAAGGATAATTAAAACCATATATTATTTGGAGGTTTTTTTAGAGGAATGGCACTTTGTGAGGTTTTAATTTAAGATATTTTTCTATTCCATTTCATAAAATAATAAAAAATTGGAAAAATCTTTGCATAAGTATTTTTCCTTAATTGTTGAATCTTGTGACCTGGTGTAGGGCATTTTGCAATCCTAACATTGCAACTTTAACATAAATACCATTTGCAGAGTTTTTATTTGTAATAAAAAAGGTGAGAATATTTTGTAATTTCTAATGTTTTCTTTTGAGCCTCAATAGCCTTAAAATATAGGCATGAAATGCTGTATTCTGATTTTTCTAAATTGTTAAAATTTACAAACAAAACTTACCTAGTGTGATCTCTTTCCCAAGTCAAGTTTGTACAGTGCCACACGTGGCTTTGTTACTCTGGAAAAGGCTGTAAGCAGTTTAGTGCAGGAGTTACTTTCTAGGTCAGACCCTGCTGTACCAGATGGCTTTTCAGAGCGAGCAAGATGATGACAAATGTGTCTTCAGTGTTTGACCCGCACAGTCTGTGCCAGGATTATATTCAACAGAAAACAAAGTGTGTCACATGGTTGGCTGTAAAGAGGAATGCGTGTTGTAGTAAGGTGCAGTGAAGAACTACAGGCAGAAGACACTGTAGGGCTGATGGTAGGGGCTGATGTCTGCCTTTACATACAGACTTAACAAAGGGACCTGTGCTTGGAAACCTAAACATCCTCAATGTGACGGATTACTGATGTTACATTTCATGAACTCAGTTGTAATGTAATTATTTTGATTTATTTAATCTCATTAAAAATACTTGTTTTTGGCAGAACCCTTTAAGAGTAGTAAGACCTTGATGAAAATTGCTGTGAATGGCGTTTCCAGTAACCCTGTCCTGAGGACCTTCCTGGCCTGTGGTTTCTCTGATTTTTGTGGTTGCAGAGCCTTGCTCTCCTCTGTTGCAATGTTCCTTTTCTTTATTGTTTACGCTCTTTGGACTGAAGAAAACTTGTTTTTGAAATCTTACAACTTTATAATGACTTATGTTTCTTGTAAAGAAAAATTTCACAAATTTATATTTGGATGCCTGTGGTTCTTGATTACATTGGGGGAGTCTTGAATCATGGTTGGGGAATTTATGTAGCTAGGGAATACTAATAGGGTAGAACACATGAGGGCTTGTGCTCTTGGCGCATGTGCACTTGGAGCTTCTGCATGACTAGGTCAGCCATCTCCCAGTTAGTTCCCTCCAGCCTGCATCTTCAAGTAGTTATCTGGGACCACCTCTGATGTGCAGGAAAGTTTTAAGGTCCTCTATTTTCTTCAAATAACAGGAAAACACTGACCACTGGTGCAAGCATGGTGGCTGCCAGCTTGGAGATAGTCGCATGTCTCGGTTGTCTCTGTCTCACAATATATGCCCTCTCCTAGGTCATCTTGGTGATCTGACTTCTGAACAAAAGGATATGGTTGGAATTGTAATTAACGTGGATACACACACACTTAATGACACGTGGATCTAAACTGAGTAAAACAGTGAACATGCAGTCAGAAATAGATAAGTATCAAATCATAAGTGAAAATACAGAGAGGGCTGGACAGTGGTTAAGTGTGTAATATGCCAGTTGTGTATGCTAGCAGGATTTGCTGAAGTAGGTGGAGATAGGAGGGTCACGAGTTTGAGGCTAGCCTGGGCTACACATTTAGGGAAAATGTATTGCTTTTGCAGAAGACCTTACTTAGTGCCTATGATGGCTGCTCATAGGCATCTGTGACTACAACCATACATAAGATCCAGCACTCCATGGGCTTGCACTTAACCAACACAAACACATGCATTTTAAAAACAGAATTTGCTGTTGCTCATCATTAATGAAAACTTATAACCCATGTGTATGCTACAGTTAGAACCGACAGAATGCTATCAGAAATCAACCTTGTCGTTTTAGGAAAAGAATGTCTTGGTTAATACACAGAGGAGGGTTTGATGGTGACATTTGTTCATGTACATCATACTCCATTTGCTCTGCTTTCATGACAGGTCTCATTTTCAAATTCTGGATGGGAGCTCTTTAAAGTTTATCAGTATTTTTGTCACTCAAGTGTAATGACTAAATTAAGAAAAGTTGACAATAGAGAAAACTGGATTTTCCACTTTTCCCTTGTAGCCAATTGTAGTTGAAGTAGGTACCAGTCCAGTTAGGTACAATAGTTTTCTATGTGGGGACCCACGGGCCCTAACACAGAAGAGATAAGAATTTGCTGACTTGGTTTGGATTGCTGGGACCAGGGGCACTGTGCCTTTAGGCTACTGCTACCACTGTCCAAACCCCTGCCTCTGGCTGTAGCACCACTCTGCCTTGTCAGATTTTAGACAATGTGATTTGGGATGGATTTCCCTACACTCCAACATGGGATCTACTGGGGCAAGTAGGGCGGTGGTGGCGCACGCCTTTAATCCCAGCACTCGGGAGGCAGAGGCAGGCGGATCTCTGTGAGTTCAAGGCCAGCCTGGTCTACAAGAGCTAGTTCCAGGACAGGCTCCAAAACCACAGAGAAACCCTGTCTCGAAAAACCAAAAAAAGAAAAAAAAAAAAGAAACAATCTTGTTGCCCTATCAATGCTACGAGACATTATATATAATGTCTCTATAGAATCCACAGAAGTAAAACAGTCCATTTTGTACGTTTTAGAAATAGATTTCAGCTGGGTGGTGGAGGCAGAGGTAGGCGGATCTCGGAGTTCCAGGCCAACCTGGTCTACAGAGCTAGTTCCAGGACAGCCATGGCTGTTACATAGAGGAAACCCTGTCTTAAAGGAGGGAAACCCCTCCTCGAAAAACCTTTCAGTTGTGGGTTTAGCAGTGAATTCCTACCCCTTATCCCTCTAGTAGTGGGAATTGAATTTGGGCCAAGAACTCCACTGAGCTGTGTTCCCAGTATGCCCCCAACACTCAGGCTGTCCTTGAAGGTAGGTTTTTTTGCCTTAGCCTCCTGAGTCCTGGGATAAAAGATAAACATTGCCACTTTTTATGGCTCCAATAACTTCTTGGGAATTGACAGACAGTATTCAAGTGAGTGAGATATGGCGTCGGGATGCAAATGCTATAAAGAAATGGGGCTAAGTGAATTTGTGGTGTAGTTTTTTTTTAAATATTATGTATACAATATTCTGTCTGTATGCCTGAAGGCCAGATGAGGGTGCCAGACGTCTTTACAGTTGTGAGCCACCATGTGGTTGCTGGGAATTGAACTCAGGACCTTTGGAAGAGCAGGCAATGCTCT